TCGAAAAAATGAAAAATTTATTTTGCATAACGTAACATCCACACACGTAAATTTGTCTTTTTGAAATGTAAACAAAAGAAGTATCCATGTACAAAGAGATGTGGATTTTGTAAATTTGGATATCATATGATTAGATATATCCATTTACATATACATATATATGTATATACACATATGTATTATGTATTACTACCAGTATGTGGTATACCTTGTTGGTATTGATTATCTAAAAACGAAACCTCTGCAAAGCTTTTATTTCGCTAGAGTTGGCTCGTTGCTCTGTTAATTAAATTCGGGAGAAAAATTTGTGATTTTAATTGTGTTGACTCGTTGTGTCGTGTCTTTTTTCTCTCTCTCTCTCTCTCTCTCTCTCTCTTTTATTCTATTTGTATCACTAATAATCATAATGAATTAATAATTGCTTTCAGTAAACAATTAATTAATAGTAACACACATTGAAATATCATTTAACACGTTGAGTGCTACGTCAGTCCTTAAGAACTGACATTGAACTTTACGTTTAATAATTTTCAGAGTAAAATTTTTTAACAATTTTAAAAATGTGATTTTTTTAAAGGATCAATTGTTACTAAAAGTAAAAAAAAGCGATTACCTGCACAGTCGGATCAAAAACACGTTTTTTTTCTATCTTCAACATGGACAATCCAAATAGATGAAAATGGATTATGAACTGTCACAGGCGTTATGTGCTTACGAGTATTTGTTTTGTAAGCATGTTTTTATCGACATTTTGAATTTTTCCAGGATTAATATACATTTTTTTACCTTATAATTTTTTTATATTAATATAATGTTTCAATTCAAAATGATAATATCAGCGTATTTTATCTCGAATTTCGCGAGATGTAATAAAATTAAATATCATTTACTAACAATAGTCTACGTTCGTTCTCGTCAAATTCGTATTTCAAAAAATTTTATTTTTTATTCTGTAATAAAAAAAAATTTCAGGAAAGTACACACTCGTTACATCGTAAAATAATTATTATTATTTGATTCTTCGTAGATTTGAATAATATTTTATCACATAAATACGCGCTCATCGGGTATTTAAAAAAATTTAAAAATATTTATTTAAAAATATTGTACTTATTTAATATAAGAAATACGAAGAGACGAAAGAAACTTAAGTTAATTTTCAAAATGTCAATGAAGAAACAATATCATCGATTTAAGTCTTAGTTAGTATGTGACACACTTTTCCTGAGGTTAAATCGCACGGAACACATCTTGCTATTTTGATGTAGAGTACAAGAAAGCTTTCAGCAACTGTTTGTTTTTTCTCTCCCCTTTGTCTTACTACTAGTTCTTTATTTCTTTTTCCAACGTTTTTTGAAAAGCAAAGTACCCAGAAAACGTACAGCACTCAGTAACACGTTTACATTTCTACCTAAAAGACATAGAAGAGGTTATTCAAGCATCGATTTATAGAAAAATAGGACTCAAATATGCGATTTGTCGATTAATACAACTAGAAATTCTTGTTTGCAAAGAACTCAATATTTTTATCCCAAAATGTATCTATAAAATAAAAATAATTGAATGACAGTTAAAATACTTATAAATATGTATAGATTATTTTTAAATCAATTTTTAAACAAATTTCTCAACAATCAACAACTGATGTCGGATTATTTCCTTTTTTTTAGACTGTTAAAGTGTTTAAGCGAGAATGAATATTACGTTTAAAAAGATTGCAAGAATTTAAACGTGGGATGCTTATAAATGATCAAATTATGCGTGTTACCTTAGCAATTCGGGTTAGCAGTAACTATAGTTCGCGAAAGATCTGACCAAGATAGGAAAGTCTAACGTGCAAACACGTTCGCTAAAAAAGCGAATGTTTTTACTTAAATTACGTATCCCTTATAGTACAAAAACATTTTATTTATGCTAAAAACAAATTAATTTAACTGGTATTACTTTTATATTATATAAGAATAATATAAAAAACTTTTTTTTACTCTTTTTTCCTGATAAACTCAAGTTCACTTATGTACAAAAGATGAAATAGTTTTGTATTTATTATAAACAATAAATAATAGTAATTGTTAATTCTAGCTATATTGCTTTTCAGCATAGAAAAATATAGAATATTCTAGAAAAGTAAAAAATCAGAACTATATACATTTTATCCAAACGTTGATTCCTCGATTTTCCTTCCAGAAATTTTCAAAGGAAAATTTTCAAATATTTGTCACGTTGAATAAAATTCGAGAATAATTTATATTCTATGTATCAAAAAAGATCCGACACGATAAACGGTAAATATAAATTTGTTATCAAGACTTCAACTTCGACTATAACATGCAAGTATTTAAATAACAAATATTATTAAATAAAATTCTAATTTTTTAACGATCTAATTAATATCACGATAAAAAAAATGATAATAATTGCAATAGCATTGAACTAACTGAATAATTTTTTTTCTTTGAATTATCGAATTATTCTTCTTCCTTGTCGTTCATTTGAATGTATAAATTATTTAAATTAATAGTAATTAAATAAAACGAAAATAAGAAAAGAAATAATATTGTATTTGCACTTTTATCGAATCGGTAAGAAAGTTTTCCTAAGAAAGTTTGAAAAATTTCATTCGTAAGAATAATTCACGAGAAACCGAACTGGTTTCTTTGTTACGTTTGGCGAGAAGAAAAAGAGTAGTTTCGAAAAGTGAATACAGAAAAGGATGATAACTAGACACCCGTCAAGTTTATTGTCACGTCTCAAAGAATATTTCAATGTCTTCGAACTTGCGTAAAGGGAGTTTTTCTATAACGAGATCCTTTCTATGATATGCATTCTTGCTTATTTTCATCTAACTAAATCGAATTATATCAAAAAATAACAGCAAATATAACAATTTATCTTTTCGTCTAAGACTTGTTTAAATATCATTGACAATTAATTCTAGTTAATAGTATTAAATTTTAATCGAATTAAATTAAGAAAAACAAAATTTAAAAAAGACATCCAATAAACGTTCCAGTGATAGACGAAACAAATTGAAAGAAAATCACATTAAATTAACATTAATTCTTGTTTTATTCTAAATTGTAATAATAAATAAAATTAATATAACAATACGTGTAAAATCTTATTTCAAGAAAATGTAAATGAAATATAAGATTAATCGTAAAGATTATATTTAAAAGATGTGTATTCTTTGCCAACGTCCCGACATCGACTGATGTATGAAGCAAAAAAAAGTAGAGGAACGAAATATAGAGAAGCAACAAACATTTCAATGTGACAATCATAACAATAGATATCGATATAAATATTTGTTTACTTTTTCTCTCTCTCTCTCTCTCCCTCTCTATTTCAATCTAAAAAAGTATCTAATAAAAAACATAGCTTTAAAAAATTCAAATATTCTCTTCAAGTAAATTCGTTATTCGTTATTCGAATACTTTATACGATCGAACGAATGATCTTTGAATTGTACAATCAATCTTAAATTGTCTCGAAAAGATTCGTTTGATTCGTTTGATTCGTTTCGTTATAGTCGACACAAAATTTTCTTCCTTTCACAAGTAAAGTCCAATGAAAGAAAGCTACAATGCTTTTTTTCCGGTTGCAATTTGGAAGAAGGGGGAGGGTTGACGGGGTAAAGGGGTTTACAGAGAACTGCTCCGTTGTAGCACGTAATCGCAACAATATTAGACGCTCATTCAATCCGGCTAATTGTGAACGAACCTTTGCACCTACCTTCCTTGAATCCTAATGCAGTGGTTTCAGTATCTATTCCGTGCGTTATCTTCTTTGTCCTTTTTTGTATCTCAAATACGAGATAAGTGTTATAAAAATACTGGAAATCGCATTTTTTATAATAATCTATTTAAAAATATAATTAACATAACAATGTGATTTTTTATCTAATGATAAGAAAACAGAATAAAATTGACGGGTACGTAATATTTTAGTTTTATGAATCACAATCATAAGTTTTTTAATTTTAATAAAATTTTAATATAAATTTAACGCACATGACTCTAAATAAATATTTCAAAAATTTGTAGAAAAATTGATTCTAAACGATGATCAATCTCCTTTTTCTAATAATTATAAAGATGACTAAAATTTCATAATCCCAGACTAATAATTAATAATTTGTAAGAAAAAGGTTTCTAATATACATAGAAAATATACACATGTAATTAAACTAACTAACTAAACACAAATATACATGTATATTTAAATGAATACGTATTATTACGTGCGTTTAGGTTTATGGACTGCGATCACGAACGTTTTAAATGTTAGTACTATCATTAACATAATCGTTATAGCCTTAGAACGATGTCGCCTAACGTAAAAGCCTGCACTTAACGGATTCTCAAAGGTTATTTCATTGAAAGGTAATTACAAAGACCATCCTGTACTTCATATGTAGGTCACGGTGATGACATTACGAACAGTAATAGTAATTACTCAAACCGGAAATGGAAGACTGACGAAGAGACCGTTTGCGTGGGCCATCGCAAATCAAATTAGCCAATAAATCTGATGAGCAAACTAACTACAGCAAGCTTAATATGCCTACAAATTGACGTATTCGAGATTTTCAGTTTAATTAATAATCTTCATATTTAATAATGAATTTCTGAAGCCATCAAAACGATTACATTGCAAGAATATTTATACGAATAAATTCATTAATATATCTCGTTTGATTATGTGAATAATAAAAGATAACTTACCAAAATCCTCTTCTAGATTCCCATTATAAATAAATCTTTAGGATCGGAGGAAACCTTGGAGGATATAATAAATCGAAAAAATTAATCAATAAAAAAATGAAATTAATTGTAAATATGAATATTCGTTAGAATTTTAACACTTTTCAGATATAAATCGATATACGATCAACTTTATTTGAACAATATTGGCTTTATATAAAATATCGCTGATAATAACTATAATTAAAAATAATCTTTCAATTTTATTTTTTCAATTCAGTATCCTACACAAATAATAATATATATATATATAATAATAATAATAATAATAATAGTAATAAGTTCCTTAGAAGTTTATTATAAATCTAGAACGACACATTCTTCCTATCAAAGTTAACTAAACTTCGTAAACCTGTCGTGTACGTTGAGATATCCTTTCAAGTGTATCAAGCTCCCGATAATCCCTACACCTCCTTCCTCTTCCACGTGCATAGTTTGTAAGTAACTATTACCAAATTCTCCTGCCTTGCTATATAAACTTTCATAGATATACATGTACATTTAGGAGGAAGAACCGTTACATGACGAGTAACTCGTAACCAATGTAGTAACGAACAGATTAAATAGATTTTGTAAAACTTAACTTTACGTTATACAGATTCCTGAGCTTTTCTATACTCGAAAACGCTTCCACGTTCGACGAACGTTCGAGATGTTGCCCTCATAAAAATTGGTTGCTTTGTATCGAGGGAACCGTAACCACCACCACCGGGTGTTTCTAGGATGAAAGTATCCTGTGAAATATGAGAATACATATTTTTTTTTTACTTCTTTACTCTATATTCTTCTTATTTTTACATTTTTTATACTCCCATGTTCATACAACTGGTAATTATAATTTTATCAGATGATCTTAAAAAAATCCATTAAATAATTACTCTACAAGAAACTTTGTTTTCCCGATGATTTACCTCTTTTGAAACTAATCAAAATACGTCTTGTGTTAAACATCTTTCATATTATAAACAAAAAAAAAACAGAAATATTTAGGTGACTTTTTTTCAGCTAATGAAGCACCCTGTATGTACTATTATAATTTTGTCGTTGTGTTTTCAGCAACGAATCTTTTTTTTCTATTCGAAAGTAGAAGCATTAAATGAAGAACCGAGAACAAAGCGTCTTACATTAGAATGACTACGAAAAAGAAAGAGAGAGAGAGAGGGTGAGAGAAAGAAAGAAAAATAGAAAAAAAATAGCGATCTTTTGGTGTTTCTGCTTTTGCGCATCAATCGCGAGAACTCGAGACGGACAAGAGGGTGTATAAGATTCACGAATAGAGATACGATTACTGCTGCTCTGATAAACCTCAAAGCTTTTACTACTGGTGTAAACACGAATGGACAATTACTATAGAAAAAGAATCTTCAACAGTGAATCGTTGGTAGTAATGTAACTACTCAAACTTACGTAGTTGTCATACAAGTCGTTAAAAAAGACTAGAAAGCAAACGGTACTTTCTAATTGGAATTAGAAATTTGCTGGTTTAATGAATTAATCGTGAATTAGAATAATAAATAATAAACATATACGTCATTTAAAATAGTAAGAAAAAAAAAAAAGAAAGAATTAATTAATTCATATGTATATTTAATCATAACTGTGAAACAAATCAAAACTAGGAAAAAAATTGATTTTATGATATATTGTATAACACAATTAATTTAAATATAATTTTAAATATTAATAATTGTAATGTATAAATTAAATCATAAAATCAATTTTGTTCTCGTTTTTTCTTACATTAGTCCACTGTCATAATATTAACAACACATATATCGAAATATATTTTATACAAATATTATTTGTTTAAACGTTTATATATATTTTATAAAACTTACGTTCACAAAGGAAAAATTGGTTTTCTTTTCGAAAAAAATGATGAGATGCGTAAACGTCGATCGTTATCTAATAACAACCATAAATTTCACAAAAATGATGTCGTTCTTTGTATGAAAACGCACATGCAGGAAACTCGAGTGGGATTTTTAAGAGCAGACGGGAAAAGCAGATCGCATCTACCGAGATAAAATCTTTACGAGGCTATATAAAAAAACCGGAACATAGCTATCCTTACTCTTTCTCTCTCTCTCTCTCTCTCTCTCTCTCCCTTTTTTTCCCTCTTATTTTTTTTGTATCTCTCCTTATACTCCTTTTGCTTCCCTTTCATACGAATTTTAAAAAGTCTATGTCTGAAGAAGGCACATTTTTGCTTGGTGTCTTCGCAAAGCTATTACTCTACGAGTTCTTATCCTCTTTTCTGCACTACCTTCAAAGAAGACAATATATCTTTTCTTTTTTTTATATTTCACTATTTTGAATCACTTTATTCTTTAAAAAAAACAAGTTTAACAATATTATTAGGTCCAGAAGCAAAAGAATTATTAGGTTTTTTAAAATAAACAAACAAAAAAGTTAAATAAATATAGTAATTAATTAAAACGTTTTGTTCATATTGTAATTATTATTTAAAACTAAAAGAAAAAAGTAATTTTTAATTGAATATATATACATATACATCCGATAGAATAAATAGTGAAATACATTAAAATGAGAAACTGTTAGAGAGTCTTAAAGAATTAAAGAAAGCTTAAAATAGATCAAGGCACGATGTCTCTTAAGTAACCGTGAAAATTGACTAACAGATGATAAAAATAGACGAATCTTACCCCAGCATGAACGGGCACAGCTGTTTTCGGACCTAAATTGATTATTCTTCCATCCATCCTCCTGAGAGTATTTTTGCCACGAGCACCCGGTGAACCACCCGCTAAGCCTGGAGGACAATGGACTCGTCTTTCAGTTAATACCGACAACGTCATTGGAGACCTAAAAAATATATTCAAAATACAAAAATATATAATTATATAATAAATATGAGAGTATAATTAAACTTATTTTCAGTTTCGAATTACAGGAAGCTCAAGTTTTTTCTATTCCTGTTTTCATATTGTTAACAAATTTGAAAAATCATTTGTTCAGAATATTTTTTAATGCACCTGAAAGTCATTTCTCGTATGACACCATCACCACCACGATGAGCACCCTCACCACCAGTTCCAGGACGAAGAGAGAATTTATTTAGTATCACTGGATAACGTAGTTCTAATATTTCTGGATCAGTAATTCGTGTGTTGGTCATGTGTGTGTGAACGCCACCTCTACCATCCCAAGTTGGGCCCTTGATATTATATACATATATCTCCATTATTATTTCTAATACATTATATGTAATTTATAAATGAATAATAAAATAAATAAACAAAAATTAAATAATAATGATGTCTTACGAAGTATTTGATTCCTTGTTTAGAAGCATAAAAAGTAAATAGGAAATAAAAAAAAGATATATGGAAATTAATTGCTTTGTTATAAAAATCAAATGATCTATGAAGTGTGATTCTCTTACAGCTCCACTGCCACCAGCAACAGTTTCGTAATAGCCCCATTCTACAGTACCAAGCGTAACATTGTTCATACATCCTTGAGAAGCAGCACAAGCTCCAAATGCTTGCAAAACAACATCAACGACTCGCTGAGATGTCAGAACATTACCGCCTACTACAGCAGCTTCATCTGATGGATCCAGGAGAGAGCCCTTGGGAATAATAGCTTTGACAGGTTTCAAGCATCCCTATGAAAAATTATAATCTCATAAATGTATTCGACTAGAAAATTGTAGAGTTTACTTATTCTATAAAATATTTCTTACTTGATTTAACGGTACGTCACGGCCAACGATAGATCTGAGACAATAAATAAGAGCAGAAAGTGTTACAGCACGTGGTGCATTACAATTACCCCAAACTTCATATCCAGTTCCACTGTAAATTAAATTGATAGGAATTTTTTACATTTCAAATGTCACTTATTCGTGAATTCAAAATTTAACTAGTTAGATAAGAAGTTTAAACTTACGTGAAATCGCAAACTGCTTCACCCTTCTCAACGTCAAAATCTAATCGTAACTTAATTGGGCTACCATCGTCTAGATAATCGACTGCGGTAACACTGCTACTCCCACTCTGCTGAAGTACATTATTACCGACTAACTTCAGCATATCTCTAACAGCAAACTCGGCATTTTGTTGAATGTGTCCCATGTAAGCTTGAACCACATCAAGACCATAAATATCGATCAGTTCGTTTACCAATTGTGATCCCTTTAATTGTAAAATAATTCATTTCATAATCCTCATAAATGTACAATTTACTAACGTATTTTACAAATATAATATATGTAAATATAACTTACTCTGTGATTAGCAGCTATTTGTGCTTTAAGATCGCTCAAATTATCAGAAAGATTTCTAGTGCCTGAACTTCCTGGAATCTTGGCAGGTTCCATTAAAGCTTCTATTAATTCTTTTTCTCGAAAAACACCTTTGTGAACAAGCAAGAAGCTTTTAAATGCTGCACCTTCCTAACAATATAAATAAGATAACCATAATAAAGTTCTTATATTTTATACATTATAGATAAATTTGAATTTTACTTGAAGCAACGTGGTCGAATTTGGAGGCATTGAACCTGGCGTTATTCCACCTATATCAGCATGATGACCACGACTAGCAACAAAGAACACCGGTTGTTCCACATCCCTATGAAAATTAATTCACAAATCATAAAATTTGTTTATTTAGACACAAATGGAATTAATTGAACACTCGCCTATAGAATACCGGTGTAATGACGGTAAGATCTGGAAGATGTGAGCCACCAGCTGAAGGATGATTAGAAAGTATTACATCTCCACGCGTAAATTTCCCTTTAAAAGCTTTCATTTGATACTGAACCGTTTCTTGCATAGCACCCAAATGAACTGGTATATGTGGAGCGTTTGAAACAAGACCACCATCTGGTCCAAACACAGCACAAGAAAAGTCTAATCGTTCCTTAATGTTCGTCGAAATAGAAGTTCTTTGCAAGATTCTAAACAATTTATATTAAATATTTTTTAATAAATCGTGTTTATTGTAAACAAAATAAATTTGAATAAATTTACCTTCCCATTTGTTCAGCGATACTCATAAAACGATGAGAAAAAATACTAAGTTGAATAGTATCCAAATCGGTTGTTACTTTTGTATGAATTCCTTTGCCAATGATAATTTTGATGTCTCCTTTAGAAGTAATAGATGCTGTACAATCAGGCTCTATTAATAGAGTACTCAAACTGTCCATGATTATCGCAGGACCTTGTATAATGTGTCCTGGTGATAGTGAAGTTAATTGATAAACTTTAGTATCTTGATATCCTCCCTCAAAGTACACCATAGTTGACTGAAACATATAAAATTTATTTAATTAATTTGATTCGATGTCTATGGTTGCATAATCAACTAAAAAATTAAAGATGAATAATTTATTTATTATGAAGATATTATTTATTGTTATTATTTGAAGTATCATTGAAGGTAGGACGAACTTTTTCGGTTTTAGCAGGTTTAGAGAATGGTGGTAGAGTTTTATCCTCGGTTATCGTTGTTCTTGCTATTCCACGGACTCTGATATCGTTCACAAGAATCTTTCGATTGGGCATAGTAAACCCAAATTCTGTTTGATATCTAAAAGAAATTAAATCCAAATTTGATTAGATTAAACAATAGTGTATAATTAATTGTAAAGTTATAATATAAATTTAACGAACCTTTCTAAAAATGTTGCAAGAAAATCGCCGTGTTTCGGTGATTCCAAAGAATTTTCAGAGTCAAGTTTCGCTGTACACATCAAAGCACAATCAGTACCTTCATAACGTAAATGCAAAAATGATTCTACATGTATCTGAGAATGGTCAAAACCCTGTTGAACCAACTTGTTTCTTGCTCTTTCAGCAAGAATATCTAAACGTTCATCCAATCGTTGGAAAGAACCTAAACGAAAAATAATATCTCATGAATTCACCGTTAAAAACTTAAATAACTTTAAATATTGACGCTTAAACAATTACTTTTTTCATAGATCTCAGCACTGGGTTCTTGAGCTTCTTCCACAACATTGGCCAAAGCCATACCATAAGCGGACAAAATTCCGGCATATTTGTGAACAAAAACAGTGCTCATACCGAGTGTTCGAGCTATAGCACATGCATGTTGACCACCAGCTCCACCAAAACACGCTAATACATGACGTGATGTATCGTATCCCTTAGCCTAATTAAAAAAAATTAATATTAGTATCGACTTTATTCTTGATTGCTCAAAATAGATCTTAGAAAATAATAATACTTGAGTTAGAGCACGAATTGGTCGACACATGGTTTCATTAGCAACTTTGATAAATCCCATCGCAACTTCTTCGATCGTCATTTTATCAGATTCGGATCTCAAACCTTCACGTATCAAAAACTCATTGATCTGTAATAAAAACGAAATATCAATTTTAGATCACTTCGATCATGAGATTTATTAAAATGTTGATTGAAAAGATATGACAACCTCATAAGTAAGTTTTTCAAAAGCTTCCATAGTTCGAGGTTTATCCAAAGGTTCGTTCTCGTTAGGGCCAAAAATTTGTGGGAAATATTCAGGAAGTAATCTACCCAAGGTTAAATTTGCATCGGTTACTGCCAGTGGACCATTCTTCTTATAACAGGCAGGTCCAGGATGAGCTCCAGCACTTTCAGGTCCTACCTCGAAGAGACCCGACCTGAAGAAAAGCATTGATCCACCTCCAGCCGCAACTGTGTTTACGTCCAACTTAAACCCAATTTTATTTCTTTACTATATAATTCAGATATTTTTATACCAACCACCGAAATTGTTATAATATTTCTTTTTTTTTGTACCTGAGCCGCTTGTATCGTTACACCAGCTGTAGTGCTTTCGTAAACGTGTTCGTAACTTCCACCATAACGACTGACATCAGTCGAAGTTCCTCCCATATCGAAGCCAATTACAGGTAGATCGGTTTCTTTACCATAAGTTGTCATGGCATATCCAACGACACCGCCAGCAGGACCAGACAATATGGCTCGTGACCCATTAAATCTAAATTCGAATAAATTTAATTAACAAACCGTTCAAAATTTACTTTCTATTTTATTTTTTTTTTAAGTTTCGTTTTAAACTTACGAATCCATAGGAGTTAATCCACCATCGCTTTGCATGAATAAAACGTTAACACCTTCCAAATTGTTCTTAAATTTAGAAGAAAAACCCTAAAAATAGAGAATATCAGAGTGAAAATGTTTTTACGAAGCATGTGATTAAATGATATTGGTATTATTGAGATACCTGTAGATATTGTTTGATATGTGGTGTTAAATAAGCATCAGCACAAGTCGTAAATCCACGTGGAACGATCCTAGTCATCGGCATTACTTGATGAGAAAGAGATATTTGAGAAAAGCCGAGTTCTTTAGCCAATTGGCCAACTCTGATTTCGTGCTCAGCGTATCTAAAAAATATATCAGTAAACTTTTATTTCTTGTAGAAACAAACTTGTTGTATTAATTTGTTTTTAAACATATATGCCGGTAATTATGACAATTAGTTAAATCAAAAAATTGTTTAAATTAATTTTATGACTTATTTTATAGTATAAATAGAGTTTAAATATATATTTTTTGTAATGAAACTTACGTATAACTGTGTGCCAAGACTACAGCAATACTTTCGATTCCTGATTGTTTCAATTCCAACAAATCTTCTTTCAACTTCTCTTCGTTCAATTCTTGTATGATGAACAAATCTTCACCTGTCGAACCTTTTACTTTTCTCCAGGGATCTTTGACAAGTTGACATCTTCCTGGTAGTGCTGGTATTACCCTACATTTTACTTCCACTACTTTTTTATATAAAACTTCTGGTGTTACTATTTCCTGCGATGACAATCATTATTTTTAATATTGGATAAAAGTACAGAAAAAAATAATTATTTTATAATAATACAAACCAAGTCAAAGATGTTTGGCCTTGCTTGATTGCCAATAAAAAGAATATCTTTGAAACCTTCGTTTAATATTAGCGCCATTTTAGCCCCTTTGCGTTCGAGCAACGCATTTGTAGCCACTGTTGTACCCATTCGAATCCAAGCTATTTTGGAAGTATCAACTTCACCGTTCATTTTCACTCCAGTTTCCTACAATCTTATTACTCGTCAATATTTTTGCAACAACAAAAATAGTTTTTTTTTTAATTTAAATTAATTTCTACAAAAAAAATACGAGATGAAACAAGCAAAGATTACGAATTATTGAAAAATTGTTACTTTCAATATCTTAAATGGAGGATAATTTTCTTCGTAAATAATATAAATAAATATTATAAAAATATATAACATAAACACAGAAAAAAAATATAAAATAAATATAAATAACTAAACATGCAAATCTTGAGCACCTGTTCGAGTATCCTACGAATTCCTTCGCGAGGCGCATCCTCGTAATTAGCAGGATCAACGGATAATAACTTCATAACTCTAATTTTCCCGCCAGGACATCTTGCGTAGATGTCGGTAAAAGTACCACCACGATCGATTGCAAATGCAAATTTTTCATTTTCCATGTTCACCATTGTAACGTGGACCAATTAATAAGCAAGATTTAAATGCATTTGTTCAGCGATATGTAGAAGAAAACCTAGTTCAAATAATTCATATAGATAACGAATAAACCATCTGTTTGACTAATATAGTACCAATTTGATAAATTAACAATGTCAATTCAATTCCATTCTCTTCGAGACTGCGCACAGTTTTCAAAATTAAACATAATTTATATCTCACTTTGTTTTATCAACATTTCTAAAGTATCATTGAAATAAAAACAGATCTATCCAATCGTCCAAATTTTATTATCTTTATTTTTAGATCGTACTGTGCTAAACATTAATTTAAAATAAAATTTCATTGACGTTGATAATTAATAAAACACGTGATACTTACGTAAATTCGTAAATTTTACCGATCAAATTTGTTTTCCAAAGAGTTAATACTAAACGACGCTGGTAACACTGATAAAAAGCGCCAACTCGTGTCAGTTTGTCGGAAAATTTGTCGGTAGTTCGTTATCTGATTGGAGACAGCCACTTATGTAATATTAACGTCACGACGTGAAGCAATATGGTTAGTATTCTACTGCGTGATGGGGAAAAAAAAATCGTTTCAAATATAAATAGAATAATCATATTTGATTTGACTATATTTGTGTTATATATCTGTCTCGATTTAATGTGATATCGATAGTATTTGATAAGAAAAACGGAGAAAATATTTTCGAATAATTTATATTTAATTTTAATTAATAAATATTGTCGATAAAAATAGTCATTAAAATTTATTTAAATGACTGAATATTTCTTAATAATAATTTCAAGTTATATTCTTATTTTTAATTAATAAGACAAAAATTTGCATTAAAATATTACTCCTATAAAATAAAACGTTTTTTGACTTCCGCGAAGTCATCGATTAAATCCAAAAATGTGTTTTATTAAGTGAAGAAGTTTATTTCAACGAAGCAGTTGTGATGTGATACTAAAAATATCAAACTCATATAGATATAATATGTTATCTTTATAATATCTACTACGTCACGATCATTGTTCCTTCTTTTACGTGTAAAATTCGTAAGTTTTTTCAGTGACATTGAGTATCGTCATATAATTGTGAAAAAACAATTGTTACGCCCTGCGACGTAAAATAAAATTTGTTTGAACAAACCTTGTTTCAATAATACGTAAACGTCGACTAGTTAAAATTAACAGAGAATATAGAATATTTTAAATAAATGTAACAGAGTTCCTGATTAACCGATTTTCTTTTTATACTTATTAATCTATTACCAACACTTCAAAATTTAATAAACAAATTTATTAATTATTACAGAATACGGACTTAATAATTAATCAAAGAATGAATTTACAGGATAGAATTAAGATTAAGAATTGACGCTTTTTGACCCCCATGAGCCTTTTCTTCTAACTTTATCAATCTATACTTTCTGCTGCATTTACTCTTTGGTATAGCCAATCTTTTTTCACACAGATATTAATATAAATATTAATCCCTAACAAAGCTAATTGGTTTAAGATCTTGCAACAAGTTGGTTGTATTACGAAATAATACATTTCAATATTTTAACGAAGTGTAATCTTTAAGAAAATTTGTTATCTTTTAAAATAATAAGAATACACGTAGTCTTGGCAAAATTCAACAATATTTATAAAAAAACGGGCACAAGATGTTAAATATTTAAATTATTAACATCTAAATTTGTTAAATGAGTCATAAACAGAGCTCATGTTATATCTTATATTACACGTGTTCAGCCTTCAACAAGGAACGTGGGCAGTAAAAAAAAAAAAGAAAACGCACTCAGGACGTAACAATATTAAATATCTTATAAACATATACTAATTTATCAATTTAATAAAGAATATCTTAGATAGTTTATACAAAATATACCAACACTTTTTAACAAAATTTTCCTTCTTATTTTTGGCACGTTCGTCTCATCACTGGTTGTTTTTTTTTTGTATATTAATAATAAGTTTAACAATGTGATTTATTGTGCGATTAATTTCTTGAGCGCGTTAATCTCGACGAGTATCTAAATAATCTTTTGCAATCACACTTATCTTCAAATTTCTTGACAACGTTTCGATATAAAAATATGTTCATAATTTAATCCAACAAAAAAAAAAAGAAAAGAACTCCTATATCTGAACTGTTTCTTCAATAATGTTCTTGTATAAATCATCTGTCAGTTTCACGTACGTGCCCGTCCGATCAAGGAAATAAATTGGATCTACAAACTATATGAACAACATTTGATAAATAAAACTTTGTAAAGCTGATTATTAAAAAAATAATCGATTCAATGTCTATACCTTTGTAATATCAAAACCTTCGGATTGAAGATCCTTCTTCTTCAACTTATAGGTACCTGTTAAAAAGATATTGATAACACCAAAAAAATATCTTCGATAAGTTAATTATAGATTTTATCACACAAATTACCAGTCATAGGTAGTTTCGAGAGGACACGAACGAAAAGTGGTCGAGCGTAGGTAGGAAGAACTTTTTTCACACCGTCAGCTAATTCTTTTAAATTTAAAGATCCTTCTGGATCATAAATAGCAGCCATGCCAGCCTTACCTTCATTTCCAGGTACCTGTCAACAATTATATTGCGTTAGAAGACATTTAAAGTTATTGTCGTAAAACCAATTTACGTAGCTACGTTTTATTGTTAAACAGTAGTTCTCGTTTGGTTTTTTCATTTAAAGCATAATAAACTTTCTATTGAAATATTGAAAGAATTTTAAACTACCATCAAATATTACAACGAAAATCATAAAAAAGAAAATTATATATTATTATAAATTATTTAATTACATAAATTTAAATAGAAAATAAAAATTAAAAATAAATGACTCACTTCGACGCCATAAACGACTGTATCCTTGAGACCTATAACGTTACTAACCACTGCTTCGACTTCAGAAGTGGCTACGTTTTCTCCACGCCACCTAATAAACAATCATTTGAGAAAAAAGTTAATTCCATAAATGAAACAAACGTTGAGTATAACATTTGAACGTCGAAAATACAATACATGCCTGAACGTGTCACCAGTTCTATCTTTGAAGTAGAAGTATCCCAATTCATCCATGACCAAAATGTCACCTGTTCGAAAAACGCGGTTTAGTCATGGCATAGATGATTTCTCAGTTGGTCGTACAAAATGACCGCATTTTTTTTTTTTTTTTTTTAATTTTTTGTCTTATTATTTCAACCGACCGGTATTGAAGACACGATCACCCTTTTTGAAGACATCACGTATGATCTTCTGTTCTGATGCCTTCTTATCAGCATAACCACTGAAATCGTTCACAGCCTTGCGCGGATTTATTTTTCCAACGAAGACACCAGGCTCACCTAAATCATTGAAAGCAAAGAAAATTATTGTTTTAATCGAAGATGAACTTAAACAAATTTAATTCTAAATATATTGTAGGTACCAATATATCCGACTGGAATTTAATTATAATAATTTACATGACATAAAAAAAAAGGATACATTCCTCGTGCTTTGATTTGTATATATTTTATTTTAAAAATGTAGAGATAAACAAATATTCAAAAATAATTACAACAATGATTGCAATTTGAAAAATATGAAATCTTTGAACATAACATCGAGCATTTTCTTAAAATATTAATAAATATTTGTATTTTAAACATACCAGGCTTACAAGGTACACAAAACCCTTCAGGTCCTCTAATCGGTTCTCCAGTTTCTTCATTGACTCTCAACAAGGTAACTGGGTAGAGATTACCAGCAAACCTTGGTACAAATCCAACTGCACCGACTCTATTATCGATGTTCACTACGATATAAACGCGAATAATAATGAACATAGTAAATCTAATTATACGTTGAATTGCTTCGTTAAGTTTGTCGAAAAAAAAATAGAAAATAAATTACCGAGATTAGAGTTTCCTTCCGTAGCACCATAAAATTCACCGATTTGTTTAACGCCAAATCTCTCAACGAAAGGCTTCCAAATTTGTGGCCTTAGACCATTCCCATACATGAGTCTTACTTTATGGGTTGTGTCATAAGAACTTGGGGGAACAGTTAAAAGATATCGGCAAATTTCTCCGATGTACTGAGCAATCTGAAAATAAAAAATATTTATTTGGTCAATGGGGTAATACTACAAATATTTACATAACTTATTGATCGATCCATAAAGTTATAATAAAAGTATTCAATTAATTTGTGTATATGTTTAAAATTAAAAACAAATTTATTAGTTATTATTAAATTTATATTTTTATAAATATAAATAATAATAATAATAATAATAATTTTATTTCTATTTTTTTACAATAAAAATTTACTTACGGTACATTCATAATGAACGCAATCGGACCAAAATTTCGAGGCACTGAAACGTCTACGAAGAACAACAGTTATTCCTGTAAGCAATGGTTGTCCAGCTCCAATAATACCTCCAGCAGTATGATAGAGAGGTAAAGAATTGTAAATTCGATCATCTGAACGTAGAGCCAGCATGGAATAAACGCCATAAGCCATTAACATATACCTGAAAGAATCCAATTTTTCTATAATACGTAATTTCATTTTTATGAAGAAATATTTAGTAAAATACTCAACATACCTGAGATTATTTATAACAGCTGCCTTTGGCATTCCAGTTGTACCAGACGTATAAATATATATCAACTTGTCACGAGGAGTACCTAAAGCCATTTCTTTGAGAGGAGGTTCTGGATCTAAACTGAGGATTTCTTTGTTTAAATCTATTGCTCCCTCTAATATAGATACATCTTCGTGTTCTGACCATTGAAACAATGTCAACTCTGGTAATTTGTCCTTTATATCACGTACCGCTAAAAAGAATATAGCCTTGATTATTTTTATAATCAATGTCCCTTGTATCCGACTAATTTCAAATCATTTATTTTTCTTGAAAAGTACTTTAACATTATCCTAATTTTGAAATATGTTTTTACATTCTGTCTCGAGAGTATTTAGAATAAAATAATTATCTTTTTAAATACTTTATTGACATTATATCACTTTAGCAATATATTTAGTTTTGTTAAAGTTTACTGTTGATCTTTTGGATGTTTGATAAAATATATTTAAAATTTTCGAATTATAAAGTACCCCACGAATTAATTAGAAAGAAAAGTTTCTTACCGTCTTTGAGTTCAGAACCAAAGATGAGAGCCTTGCAGTTTGCTGTTTTAATACTATGGATTAAAACTTCTTGTCGAAGATTGGTATTGATAAGAGCACCGACGAAACCGACCTTGCTAAGACCCAACCAAGTTCCAATGTATTCTGGACGACCTTCCATAACTAAGGCTACGCTATCCCCCCGTGAAAGTGATCGCGTGCGAAAATAACGTCCTATTCTGTTGCTGAATTCTTCGAGCTATAATATGACGAGAATCAAATTTGATTAATTTTTTTTTTTTTGCAGAAAATGATAATATTTAATCTTCGTGATTTAACTTCGATATATTTTATTTTAAAATCGTGAAATTATATATATATATATATATTAGTTGCAGAATATTTCAATTAAAAAAATTATTAAATCTTTACCTGCCGATAGGTCCATTCTTTATCCTCAAAAATATATGCTATTTTTTCAGGATGACGTTCAGTCAATCTTGAAAATACCCTTGCTACTGTAAAACCTCGAGTTTCCCACCACCACAAGAGTATGTTCACTCGTATAAATCTAATAGCACCTCTGGAAACAAACAAAAATTATATACAGAGATATATAATATAAAATTAAATATTATATATAATATCTATGTAGAGATAAAATTCTCTAAAAACATAAATCAAATCCAACAAATATAATTCATCTTCATATAACAATCGATTTCCTTAATCGAGAGATTACGATATCGTAAATTTCTATTGTCTAAGGATATTTATATAATTTGTTATTTCAAAAGAAATCTGTTAGTCGTGCAAACTAGATCACGATCATAAATAATTCATCTATCAATTGCATTCATTCTTAGTCTCATAGAGACTCTATTGTGTTCTACAAAAAATAGGGTGAGAAAACGAGCGAATCACGGTCACGAACACGAGTCCTGAATACACTTCTTCATGCTTGCTAGCACGACATCTTATCCCATCGATGTAAATTGATTAATTTCATAAAGAACGCGTGCGTGCATGGCTATCAGACCTACATGTAAAAAAAAGCACTCTGAGAATAGTTCTTTTTTTTCACCGAGATGGTTGGACTTTGAAAGGAACAAATCCATTTGAAAGAATATTAATTCATTAAAAAACTAATATATGAGTTTATATACCTTTATAATTATTTGAACGATTATTATACGATACTTAAATGTATTATATTTTAATTCCAATTTAAATGAAATGTATAAATACTAATACATCACAAGATGCATAGTTATATACGTATAATTACGTATATACATTTTGTTTAATAACTCATTTCTATTTATTAGTCAAAAGTTAATGTTTAATTAGCAAAATACAAAATGTATTTTTAACTAACAAAGAGAAGCCGATGTTTCTATTTAAGTCATGCATATAGTTGTGAATTGTTCCCAACGATTAAGGCAATCATATACATTCCACGCTTCTTTAATTAACGTTCCTTCCTGCTCGGCGAACTCGCTCATTTACTCCTTCCTCTTGTGACTTATAATAATTTTGAATGAAACGAAAAACATAATAACAAGAATGACGAGATAAATATTATCTAATTATCATAATTTTTTCAAATTCGTTTAGAAGAATAAAATATCAATGACTGTTATAACATTTTATTTAAATTAATTTTAATTTTTATTACAACACAAATGTGTGAAAAGTTGTTTGATGTGTTAAAAAAATACTTTATTGTTTCTTTTCTAACTTTTCTTATCAAATAATTTATTATATAAAGAAATGGTTACGTTTATTTAAAATATTGCAAATTTTCGCGATGTCCCCTGAAAGATTACGCCTTTGTTAGCAAGCTCGTTCCTATCAGTCGACACTAGTCACAGTTCCCCTACAAGTTAAACCACGTATATTCACAATGATTAAATAGAACCGAATGAGATAACGAATGACATGGAGGAGAATAAATTTTCTCGTTGAATCCTCGCTGCTTGAAAAACAGTTATTACAAATATCATCAATTTTATATTTACACAAATGTATAAAATTTATGATAAATATATTTAGAAATGTCGTATCGATCAGAATCTTTGTGGTTAGAAACGAGTTTTCCTGTGTGGAACAAGCTACGTTCAACGAGAAGCAATAAAACCGTCAATGTCAACTGAATCTTTACGCGTGAATATGTGTGTGCGTGTGTGTGTGTGTGTAAGAAACGTCCATTACGTTCAAGTACGCTTGTTCGAACATGATTTTAAAAGACAACCTGTATTTTATTAATTTTTCTTACACATGCAAACATTATTTTTACAATGTAAAAATATTCTTTTCATTAATCTATTATTATCGACTACTAACGATCAGTCCATCCACCGGAAGTTGTTAAATTTTCGATCCACCCTAACGTTTCCATGACAATAAATGGGATCAAAGTCTAATCGCATCATACATGCGACCATGTGATATGACGATCCATCAACCTGTTGCGAATACTTCCGACGATTTTCTTTGGAATAACGGATTAAAAATCGACGCTTGAATATTTTTTAAATAATTGAAGCGTTATGATTTTCATTAATTAGATTTATGTAATTGTATATATGTATGTATATGCATGTACTTACATTTTCTGACAACTCGAAATAAAAAGAAAAGTATCGTACGATAGAAGTTAGCCATTGACGATTGCTGAAGCATTTATCATGCTCGTTAGCAATAATCGTTAGTCACACAAGAAGACTCAACACTTAGTCAATCTGCTTCACTTACTGCTCATTTGTTAATATCAACGTGCGTCGATAGGGACTAGACTTTACTAACAGTAAAAAGCATACTGGATATACCTAACAAGTTAACTACTCCTTAAACTATGAAAATCTAAAAAACCAAACAAATGAACTACGGATAGAAATATTTATAAAAAAGTACATTTCAATATATGTAACATTCGTCGATGAAAAATATTTCACAAATAATACGAAAGGTATATTAGTAGAATATAAATAAATTTACATGAATTATTTTAAGTATACAAATTGATAATGGTAAAAAAAAAAATGTAAAATTATTTGTAATACTTATTTTGTATTTTGAATGCAATGATATGAAAACAAAATGAAGAGGATAAAAATGGAATTAAAATAAAAATTATAATACGAGAGAGCGCAATATTATGTTAAATAGTTTTCGAATACGAATATAATTGATTAACTTTATTCGATTAAACGCATTAAGCGGAGATTTGAGTTCATACCAAAAATGTAATAACTTGACATTGCGATTCGACCTATCGAGTATGATTGATTGACCTTAGACACATATATAATACAATCGGTGAATTTTATACGTGCATGTAGGATCAGCAACACCTCCAGCATAATAATTAAGCTCAATGACCCCGACTTTATCGAGGTCAAGTGAGTTGCAACGAACTCCGTCAGTTCGATCTACGTTAGTAAGTACTAGTGACCCTTTCCTTATAGGTTATCATTAAATAAGACTTTCACATATACTCTGAAGAAATAAAACTTGTAATCTTCAATGTGCATAAAACAAATGAAAAATAAATTAAATGAAAACTAATGAGTGAAATAAGATATAGAATATTTCTATATCTTAAGCTATAATTAAGAATAAAAATAATAATAATGTGTGAATCCAATTTAAATGACAACTAATTAAGAAAAATTATCAAAATTAGATGACCAACGTCCGAAGTTTCGCAAAAAGAGATTACATAAAAATGAAAAAAAAAATAATTATACATAGGTTACGTAATAAGTTATATAAATATTTTTATAAATTTCTTATAAATATGTAAACATTTGTGTAAAACATCTTTTACAAAAATCGAAAAATTATTAACTTGAAATGTATAAATTATTTGTATGAAAACGGTACCAATAACAATTATAGTTGCGCTAACAATTAAATATTACGCTTACAAATGAATCAATAAAATTTTGTCTCTATCTATGTATTTACATCGAAATCGTAAATATTATAGATAAATATTATAATGATTCACAAATAGCGAACAAATCAAACATAAAATCGTATTACATATTTTGCTAACATTAAACACGAACACTTTGGAAGCGCAACACAAAAGTAGAAATTATTACAGGCCATTAATCACGCGAGAAAAGTTTTTTCTAGGCTATATATAGAACGATATACATATAATGAAGCGAGTAATTGTCTTTCATCTTATTAGTCGACCAACAAAATAATCAATCTTAAATCGATACTATGTGACACAATGTATACATAATATAATTATAAAAAGAAAACATCAATATCTTTAAATTACGCATGAATATTTAATAACAGTCATAAATACGTATTTATATTGTGCATATAATAATAAAGATATTAAAAAAAAAAAAAAGAAATTTTATATAACGAACAACAACAATGTAGAGAAAAACTTTGACGTTCATCAAAAACAATATAAAACATAAATTGTCTCATGATATTCATTTCTACGCATATTTTAATAATAATTAAACTTTATAATCTGTTTATAATTACGTATTCATGTTCTCATAAATAAACACGTTGAAACATTCTAATTATAGAAGATGTTCCAATGGTTTCCTCTAGAATAGTTACAAGCTCATATTAATTAATCTCGATTGAAATGATCGATATATTGTTCACACAATTGAAATGTATTTGAGTAAATTACTGGAAAGTTCGAAGTCCAAGATGATCGTAGATAATGTAAACAATAAGTAATTAACACGTGACGAATATGACACAAAATATATTCTATAAAGAAAAATCGATATAAAACGCAAGTACGCTTCAAACGTATGAACAAAAAGTCGTCTGCGTAATATTAATATAATGATAACGTGGTTGACGTGTTTTTTACGATCGAATAAACTCGATATACAAATATGTTCTTTAAAAAACGATTTTAAACGAATTAAAAATATTTGTGCTCTTTAAATGCTCACATAAAACAGATAAAACGATTCTTACAAATAATAATAATAGAAACAATATGCATTGACAATAAAAAATAACTCGTCATTACAAGCACGTTCTATGCAAAACTATTTGGAGAAACAAAAAAAATATAGGAAAAATAGGCGATTAAAATGAATTACTCACAAAATATCTCTAGGAGCTGTTTTATAAAGCACATAAATGAAACGCCATCGTCCTCCTGTCAGAAGAAAACCTCCAATAGCTATGCTCGCCGCAGCGAAGAGTATCTGTTCAAATGCCGACATGCTTTCGTGCTATCGAACGGCCGTTCTTCTTAAGTTCCGACCTCCAACTGTTCTCTCTTCTCTCTCTCTCGATAGATCCCAACGCTCTACGGCGCATGCAGCCTTTCGAAGAATCAAAATGTTCTTTTGTATTTCTCCTTTTCCTAATTTATGCATAAAATTATAACGAATGATGAAAAAAAAAAAAAAAAAGAAGAGAAAAAACAAACTTAATAACTATAATAACTATAATAATAATAATAATAAATGAAAAAAAGAAAAATAAAGAAACTACACAATGTTCACGAAAACACACACTGTTCCGAAACAAAATTAAAAGAGAATACAATATATTAAGTTAATACAAAGAATGTGATTAATAATTATTAGATTGTTCGATTGGATAACGATTAAAATTGTTTCTTTCTTTCTTAACAGTTTTACTTTCTTTTTTTCTTATTTTCTAAGCTCGACCGGCAGAAGTTATAACGAACACACGCGAATTAATCGCCAGCCGAGCGACGACTAACCGACAACGTTCGTTACATCTACGTCGTATCTATATCTATCTTCCTCTTTCTCTCACACTCGACTACACCAACTCATATACGATCTAAGTGCCCATCATAGCAGGATATTGCTGTAACCGACGTCGTAGAAAAGAATGCAATTTTTTAGCACTCTGATGATTAATTCTCATCATTCTCGTTCAAAGATCTCTTCTTCTTTGACGAGTCGAACGAAACGATGCAAGACACTTTGCTTTGTATACTTTTTTTTGTCTCATTTGTTTTTGTTTTAAGTATTTTTATTTATTTTGTTAATTCCGTTAAAGAAAAAAAAAATCATCGTAAAGGACTAACTTTGTGCGATATCAAAAATAATAAAAATAAATTAACATTTTTTTATTTATTATTATCAGTGATAACTGTATAGTATAAAATTATGCACCTTAAACGATAACACGGTCGTTCCATTGGACTTTAAACATTTTTTAAATGTTAAATTATACGTAATTTGTATCAGAGTTTTTGTTTGACTCATAATAATAAAGATAAACAAAAACTGACGCAAAATATGACGAGTAGCTTATTGCGAAATTGAAATTTTTGTCTGGACGTATTATTAATTGTGATACAACTTTATTTTTAACACGACAAATATATTTAATATTATATAACAAATGTGTGTGTAAAAGAATATATTTATATTTATATGTAAATTTATACAAGCTTATAATTAAATCACTTCGCGATCAGATAATACTCCAGAGATGCTTTCCTACTGGTTACCATCAGTTCGCGCGAATTGTTTGGTGTAAGCCTTATGGTTCATGCGGACCGGCTATTAATAATGAGCAAACATAAAATAAATTTACTTTCGTAATATGTTTGGTGCAAATTTGTATACAAATTTCAAAAATTGGATAGTTCCATTTGTGACTGTACTTTTTTTTCTTTTTGTAAAATTCTATAAATGCCTTGCACCATTTACAAATACTTATACAGAATTAAAGTTACTTATCGTAAAAATGTTTCAATTAATTGAAATAACTTAAAAATATTTCTTTGTCAGTAATTATAGTTCTTTTGTTTAGTTTAGTTGTTATATGGTTATTGTATTGCTAATAAATTGCGGATATATTAGAAATTGCATAAAATAAGTATAATTATCTGATAAATTAATATTATCGAGTTAGTTTGCTACTCTAACGAATCATATTATTTTGATATAGAAATATTAACATTCAAAATAGAAACTAAAATGTGAGAACAAAATTTTACTATGAAAATACCGGTTGACAAGTTTTAGGAAAGCATCGCTGTAATACTCCACGAAATAAAGGTACAAAGACAAGGTCTGTGCTTGTGACATCGACTGGTTGCACGTTCTTGAAGGTATCAAGGTCACCAATACTTGACAATAATAGATACTGCAAAAAGAAATAATAAATAAACAAAAATAAACTATCGTATGTTATTATAAGTGTTTAGAAGTGAATGAGTCAATGTTAAATATATTTGAGAGGGACGAGCATAAAAGTGTATAGTAAAAAAGCAATAGCATTTTATAGTATAAATATGATTATCGCAGAACTTAATTTTTTCATTTAAAATAATGTAAAAAATATTTTATCTTTCGTGTTATTACTAAAGTACATTGTCGAGTCAATACGAGCCTGTAAATAAAAGACTGTAGATAATACGTATGATTAAAAAGAAGAGATAAGTTAAACTCGCATGTACCTTCAATTTGAGGAATCAAATACCATTCTATAGGACGTTTGCTATCTGAGAACCAGGAAAAGCGCCAAGATGTCCATAACTGAAAATGATACGCGGGAAAAGGATCCAGTAAGTGATACTTAATGAGAATGAAAAAAAGAAACTAAAGGGCAAAACTAACTTCTATCTTTCTTACAAAGGGTAGCCGGATCGCGAGAGGATCAGATTTTTTTCAAACTTTACACACTTGTAGTAATCTATGAGAATATAAATTGTACTTTTTGAAAAATTGAGATCTCCAACCGTTTGCGAAAAAACGGGGACAAAAATTTCACAAAAATTATTATATTCTCAAGTTTATATACTCAAGTTTGACAAATTTGAAAAAAATCAGAATCTCTTGCATTCCAGCCTTCCCTTTTAAGAGGTTCAGTTCATGAGAGTCATTCATACCAAATAAAAATAAATAGTATTATAGCAAAGCTAATTTGCAACAATATGCAGACTCGCGAATTTATAAAAAAACAAGAATAAGGATCATGCGATTCATATGTTTGTGTTTAATATAGCCATGACACATTGATCATACCAAAGATAAAGAAAATAATCGTCAAGATAACGCTGACGATAAAAATCCGTGATTTCAAGTTCTGCAACCACATCCTTCGTTGAGCTTTATTTGCTGCTTCTCTGAATTGGTTACTAGTCATGGACAATCGATCACTTGCATCTTGTAAATCCTCTAACTTATCTCCACGTTCCATAACTTTCATTACATTGTCTCGCATCACATTTGTCACATCATCAATTTGGATTTTGACACTAAACAATATTAAATACACTCGTGTTAATTAACGAACTTTGCTGTTATATTTTCTGCGATAAATTACTTTGGTATATCCATGACTTGCTTTTTCTCATTGCGTATTCTTGAAAGATTAATATTTGAATAATTCTAAGCAATCTCTACAATTTAAATTTCAACTTGAATTGTACGAAGAAGCGCGCGCGCAATCTAATAATATTTAAATACCAATAAAAAGACCACATATATATTTACCTATCCATTTTCCCATCGATTTTGCCAATTCCATTTGAAGTACTCGGACGGCTGAAATCAAACATCAAACATGATGGGAGGATAAAAGTATATGTTACGGGTTCATCATTTTCATGATCATAATAAACCTCCGGTAATGGAAATCGATATGCCAATCAATTCTTCATCGCTCTATTACAAAATAATATAAATATGATTAAAAAATATAGAATAATAGAAAAAGAGAATTCTTTCTACTTTTTTTGTTGAAATATAAGTTAACTGATTTGGCAAATGAGTGGGAGCTCATATTATTCATAGAATCTTCAACGACTTACTTAAATATCATATCCTCATCGGGCTCACTGTCATGTTCCAGGAGTGTCTGCTACAAATGAATGTATTATACAAGTTTACTTCACAAATGTCATTAAAATCTATGGTACATTATTTCAAATAACATACGTCAAAATGCATACTAACTTTTTCATCCTTATCTGCAGATTCAATGTCCTTTCTGGACAAATCACTTTTTCCCATGGTAGCCATGTATCTTAAATAGTGTATTAAAACTTTTCGAAAATAAAAATAATTATGAAATACTTCCAAAAGTAGGAGAAATTTTCACGTTATACTTTTTGCCGAACATATATGCAGCCATATTGTCAAACTCTAATTACAATTATCGACTCAGCCTTCAAATTCGTTTGTATAATTGACCGAAAGATGGTGCTACTTGCAACCTTTAGGCGACACAATCGATCGAAAACTTGTAGAAGTGTATCGATAATTAAAAAACTCCTACTTTATCGAAATTAATATATATTTATATATATATATTATTCTTTTAAAATTAATTTGCAACATATTTTTAAATTTTTACGAATAAATTTGTATTCGAGCTTTAAGTTTGTTTGATAAATCGACCGGCAAATGATGCTACCGACGACCTTCGGCGCACGCAATCGATAGAAAATTAGCGCGAGAAATATTCATCGTTCAAAAAAATTTCTATTATATCGAAATAGTTATATATTATATTTGTATAGATTTTTTTTTTTTTTTTTCAATTAATTTAAAACATACTTTTATATACATATCTACATTTTCACGAAAACCTGTAGACAATAAAAATAACTATGTCGATTAGGAGGGAAGATTTCTAGAACACAAAGTTCATTGAAAAGTATTCTTCGCTAAATCAAAAAACTTCTAACCGTTAGGATGAAACTGCTGACGTTTTCTACAAAGAACCGACAACGGTCTGATCCGACAGTTGACGTTTGAAATTGCGTGTTCCTTTATTCCAGATAGCTATTGTGGTATACTGTACATAACTAGGAAAAAAAATGCTTGAGAAAAATCGTGAATGTTCGCGAATAAACCCGCTAGCCACAACAATAACTACAACCAATATATCCTTAGAAAGCTCAAAAGAATCCACCCAGGAGACTTAGTAAAAAATTAAATCTAAATGAAATAAATGACAATATCGACGCTATCTATTTTCACTTATAAACCAATTTACTAAATCTCTACGGACAAGTTGTAAAGAAGTATAGAGTTAATAAAAAAGAAAAAAAAACATCCTTTTCTTTTTTACTCAAAGAGACAAAGAAAGAATAATTGTTTTATAAATTTACGACAATGATTATAAAGCAATTCTCGTTATATATAATAATTTATTATTTTTTATTAATTAATATAAACAAGAGGATAGAGATAGAAAAATACATCATTCTAACAACTTTCAAAATACATATGATTCTTCGACTTATTTTGTATAGTCTTGCAAATCGTAATTGTGCGAGCGAGACACTCTTTTTGTCTTTTTGTTTTTTTTTAACTTACATAATAGAATTAATTTACGTAATACGAAAGTAGTAAAAAAAGTAATACAAAACAGAATAAACAAAAGAGAAAATAAAAGGAAACCATTTTGAGAAAACTTACTATACTTAGCTCGTGCTTACAGAAGAATTGATAATTGATTAAGAGACAAAACATCGAAATTGTCTCATTCGAGCACACACATTAAATACATTATGTTTACGTATACAAACGCGAATAATAGAAGACAATTATGCTTGTCTAATCATTATGTCTATTGTTTCATGATTGTACGATGTTATGACGGCGCTTGAATTAGAATCAAGTACCAACATTATACACACACACACACACACACAAAATCACGTAACACATCCATACACACATCGCGAGTATTCTATTTTCCTAATTTTCTCTCTTTTTTCCTTTGTGATTGCTAAACGATGATGATTTCATTGAAATACCTGTTACTATAACATTTTAATGATAATATTTTCTCCTATTACCACCACCGAGAAAATTTCAGTTCACGTTAACTGCATTCTAAATATTCTTTTTGAACTTCGGAACGCGAATTAAAGATACTCGTTTAAATGTTACGTTTCATCGAATAATAATAATCGACGAAACCAAATGATTGGACTATGTTCAGCTACATTTTCTTGGAATATGATCAAAATAAAGGACAAATCAAATCGAAAAGTATGTCTTCTCGACGCATTTATTTATATGCTTACTTTGTATTTTCTTACTTTTTTTTTATTAGTTATTTTATTTTATTTTTTTTTAGAAATATTTGAATCTTATTTACTTGTGCACACTTAATCATTACTTATGATGATATCGATATATCATTTTTAATTTATAAGAAGAGAGAAAAAATATATCTTATGACATGAAAACGAAACATTAGTGAAAGAAGATTTCACCAAATTTTTTACTCTTTTTCTATTATTTTTTATACACAGACATAATTAAACTTGTTGATTATTTGTTACTAATGTCAAGAGTTCAACAATAAGGATGCAAATTTTTATACTATGTTTATAAAGTTTTAATTATAATTTCAAATCTAAGCGAATACAATTTTCATAATTTTAAGTTTATATTCATTTGTTCACACTTATCTATTGAATGTTTCATTAAATTTACGTACATATATATCATATTCTATTAATTACTATATATTACTATTATTATTAGTATAATTATTATTATTATATTCAATTACGAAAAGCAAAGACGACCAGCGCCACACTTTGATGGACGAATCCAGCGTCCAATCGATTGATGAATCATGCAAGTTTCTCAAGTCGTGGCAGTTTGATAAAATTTCACCGCATTTATAATTACGTACATTTTTATAATAATTATTGCTAAATGATCCTCCTTTTTGCGAAAATCCTTTAATCCATTTGCATCATAACTTTAAATATGTAACTAACTTTATGAATCAGAGATACTGTAATGAGAAACGATCTGCATCAAGGCGCATTTTATATTTTAAGTTAATAAATGAAAATATTTTGAAAATTTTATATTTAATTTGGAAATACCTAGCAAACGCGCCCGTTACCAACGGCTAAAAATATCTGAACAAACAATTAAAAAATAACATTTATTGGCAATTAACTAACAGTTCGAATTTTTTTTTCAAATTATTTCACATTCGGTATTAAGTGAGTTTACGTTATTGAATTATTCTACTTTCGAATGCAAATGGGTTAATAAATATTATCTTACGCAGAGGACAAGATTATCTTATTGAAATATATTGGCGAAAGAGAATTTTTAAGAAGGAACATACATATATATATTTTGAACGAAAATTAGAAAGATCTATACGAATTTGAAAATATTGATTGTCCTTTGATATAACGTTTTAATTTAACGAACAATAAAACAATTAATTAATTTTACATATATGTAGATAAATATATTGTACATTGAATCTTTAAATTTATTTATTCTGAGAAGATATGTGGACCAGGACATATTTATATTTATTAAACATTTCGATAATAAAATCTATCGACAAGAATGATATGTTATAAGATATATAAATATATTTTTAAAAATATCTATATATATTTTTATAATATAGTATATATATAAACGTAAAAGATATTCTTAAATATCTAAAAAGATGTAGAAAGAATATATTAATACTGTTACTTTTCAAATATTATTTCTATTATCGAACAAATTCTCGTTAGAATATTTACACGAACTTGTGTTCGATAAAACGCAAATAGAAAGGTAAATGCTGTGTGAGAGAGAGAGATATAGAAAGAAAGAAAGAGAGAGAGAGAGAGAGAGAGAGAGAGAGAAATAGTGACAAAAAGGACACGTGTCGCTAATTAGCATCTAATAAATAATCAAATCGCTGCATTGCAGACAAACAGCAAGCCAGATTATCCGGCTCAGCCATTTATGTTACATTCAAATGAAGGATTTCTAGGACCATTCATCTTAATTCTAATTTTGGATTTAGGTACCGATTCAACGTAGAAGAACACATGCACCCTCACACACACACATACATTATTATGTTCGCAATTTAAAATGATGAGTGCAGCTTGGATATCCAAACGTCGAGAAACTTAAAGCTGTTAAATAGATATATATGTTACTATTAAAGTATATAACTCATTTTCAGTTAATTCATGAGAAGCCAAGATCTTAGATGAAATAACTAGGCGTTTTAGGCAAAAAATATAAAAATTTTATTATACACTTAATCTAGTTGTTTTAAGAAATTACACTAGATAAAATATGAATTTTAACGAGAGGCGAATAGTTAAAATATGAAATCAAAATCTGATTCGTCTTTTTACAACAATACTCGTAATTATTCGTTTTTATCTTTACCTATACTTTGAAAACTAATGTTCTGTTAATCGTACTGTTTTATTGAATCTAATTTACGAATCAAATTTTAATTTTATACTTTAATTACTCACCTTCTATAATTCTTATATTAACTTGGTAAAGTATGTAATTCTTTCGTACTTTAACAGATTAGTATAGTTATTTTATATTATATTATTTTGCTGATTATTTTATAAATTAAAGGATTTCACATTTTAACAGTAATAAATTAATACGTATATATTATACTAGCATTCAGTCGTCGAGTTTGATAGCTTTTCGAATTATATCACATTATTTCATTAAAACCAATTTCTCTTTTTATTTCAATTTTAATTCTAATAAAAAGCAAGTATCTCGTGTAGTATATAATTTATGATATATTAAAAAGAATAAGCGCAATAGAAAGAGAAAATAAAAAATAGAAAAATGATTCTAATTAAATATTAAAACTTCAAATAATCTATACGAATGGAAATATATCATCAACATTCCTTTCAATAATTACGATTGATGAAAAAATAGCGTATAAAAAAAAAGGAAGCTACTTAATTGAAATTTATAGTACCTGTTATACAAAATATAACTTAACATTGAATGTTTTCATTACTTTTTGTAATATTATTCGACGCGATAGCTCGGCTAATTAAACCATACTGAGGCATACGTAGATTGCGTATCTCATGCGGGCGTATATATATTGTTCGATATGAAAATCATTAACGATAATGAGAATCAAATATCTCGTCCTAGAAGTTATCTCATTTTATCATAAAAAATATAGAAGTAGGTAAGTGAATGCTTATAATACTCGTTATCGAATAGTAGAAAATTAACTTATAAATGTCTAAAAGTCGCGAAATAAAAAATAAATAAAAATTTCTGCTCTTGTAACAAAACGACAAGACTATTTTATTCTTTATAACCTCTTCATTCGTTGATGATTTATCTCCTTAAAGAACGTGAAGATTTTCGCAACTTTTACTTTTGCTATCGTTCAAACACATTTTGTTCAGTATCTCCCTTGCAAGATTGAGACTGTAAGCAGTTTTACTGCCATGTAATTTCGACATTTTACCCTTGCTACATTGACGCCTTAGCTTCTTATCACGACTCTCACGTAGACGAATTTGTTTTAATACACCAACCAGAAGCTCGTCGACGTTGTGTTTTATTCCACTCGACGTTTCGATGAATTTGCATTCGCGAGACATCGCCAGTTGTTTTCCCTCTTTAACAAAAAATAATTTTTACCAATTTATAATATAATTTCTATTGTTTTTCTTTGACATGTACTTTTTTCGTCTTTTAAATCATTTACATCCTTTTTTTCCCCGTGTAAAATAATCGAACATTCGCAATGTCATTCTATGGAAGGATCTTTACCCTCAAGAATCTTTTAATTATCTCGACCCACATAAGTGAAAGTGGCGATATTATCTCGGAGAATTCGAATTCCATGGGATTCGAACTACTCTCATCTTCTACGACATTACTAAGATGTTCTCTTTATTACATGGTTTCCCGACAAACTACCTCCTAATTAATTCACTCATATTTAATAACATCATTCATTTTTCATAATCTCGTCCTTGCAAACTTTTCTTATGATTTATTCGCAAGGATAGCAGAAAAAGGAAAAAGAAAAAGAAGAGTGTACTGTGTACGCGTATTTCCGTGTGCGTGTGTTCTTATATGTGAATTCGCAACTCCTTGTAAAATATTTTTTACCTCTTAGGGTACCACGAATTATGGTAACGTCAATAATTTTAACTTAATTAATAGCCCTCTATAATATTTATTTCTATGATGATTAGCTTACATTTGTTTTCTTCAAATTAAAAAGTCTAATTTCAAGAAATTCAATTTATCATGTAACCGTCAAGACCAATGCATTCACGTCAATTTTATGCTTATCACCACTACTATTTCTTCCATCAAATTAGTATTAAATCAGTTAATTAAACTTTCACAAAAGATTCAATGAATTCAATTTCCTTCGAAAACCGAGCTAGAGTAATCCCATTTTAAGATAATTCGTCCTTCCATTCTTTCTTCTGTTAATGAGGTACGTTTTTCATTTAATCATTACGAAAGGACTTCTTAAATTTTCGAGTAGAAAACGTCACCTTGATAATGTTTTACGAACTTCTATTGATGGATAAAAAACGAAGATGTCATCGAAAAAACAATTAAACTAATCCAACTCTACTTAAGACATTTAAAATTTGTTAAATGTATTGTTGAAAATGTTTCTCGTCTATGCGAATACAAGTTTGACATTGTTGTAATATGATGTTTTTAACATGAAGGATTTCATCTCGAATGTTCTATTCATATCTACAACTACATTCTTAATTCATTCTACCATAACATCAAGTGTAGCTATCTAAGTTACTTAAACTTTTTCTATTAGTTTCCCTAACAAATAAAAATCTAACGGAGCGAGGTCAGGTGAGATATACGGCCAAACTATTGTTAAGGGAACAATACGCGTTGAATCATACCAAGATAGTTAACAATTCACGCGAAACTGCTAAATGTCATCTTTTAGGACAAAACATTTAGACTCTTTTACAATTAATGTTATAACTTTTGAATAAAATTTTAAATGACCTATATTTATATATAACATTTCTTTTTCGTATTTTTGAATCACCTCAAATACCTCGTATACAAAATTTGTTTTTTTTTCTAAATAATTATTTGTAGTATATACTTTGGCATATTCATTCAATAATACTGAACAATAAAAGAATAAATTGGTAAAATAGAAAGATATCAAAGACAAAAAGGAAAGAGAGAGAGAGAGTGATGGAAAATTTCAATCCTCACCGTTGAATGTAATCGTACGACTTCGTGCCAGATCAGATTTGTTTCCTACGACGATAACCGATCGTTCCTGAGTGTAATGCTCGGTCCACAAGTAACTAAGTATCTCCTCGGCCATTTGAAAACTTGTGCGAGATACTATTGAGTAGACCACGATGCAGGCGTGTGGCTCGTACGTCGACAAAGAGTTCTCTACCTGTCACAAACGAATAACACCTCATTTCACTCTTTTTTTCTTATCACTTTTAAAATGTGTTTATTTTTTTCTCTTCGTTTATTTGCCTAACAACTTTCAACTTTAAATTATAACATTTTTGAATATACCATATATATATTTATTAATATATGGTGACTCATATTACATCCCGTGAAACAATATATATAATATATAACGATCAATTTCTTATCATTAATATTTGTTTTTTAATTGCTATTAAAAAGTATGGAATGGAAGTATGTATCAAACCTTTTTTGGAACATCTTATATAAATAAAAAGAAAGTTAATTGATCACGTTATTTAAACAACTATTACTTAAATCAAATTCATTTCGTTTACTATATGTAACAAATTCAAAGAAATAATAAATTCAGCTAGTATCCTAAAAGCAATGTTTACTCACGCTCATCTCTATATGGGGATGGTCGATGAAGATTAATTCGGATTCTTCTTCATCAAGCAAAATAGAGACTGTTTTCTCACCAAATTCGTCATCTGCAAGAGAAAAAAAAAATACACGAATGGAATTGCTATTCGTAAACTGAAAATTATTATGCTCGAGAGCTTAAAAAGATGAAATAATTTTTCTCTCTTTAATTATATTTTGCGTAGGTATCTGTATATTTTAAATATTATATATCTCTGCATATACTCATAATGTCACGTTTTTGCAGCCTCATTTTGTAATTATTTTTGTCTACAATTTTTTAAAAATTTTATTAAAATATTATAAATTTGATAAATAATTGGTATGAAAATAATTTATAGTGTCTCAAAGAAAATATAAAATATAATATTTAGAAAAAAAATATACTATTTTCTGTGTACGTATATTAAGCATTATTATTTTTCTTTGTTTACGATTTATCTGATTATGAGAGAATACGTAAATCCAACGGAGTCGACTCAAAGTAAAGGAAGAATCGATCACCGGACACGAAGCTCTACGTAGCTTTGTGTGTACGTTTCTAATCATGATTATATAACGCTCCAAAAAGTTCATCCGTATAGCTGATTACACAAAAGGATTAGTGCATAAACTTAAATGCTAAAGTCCTGGAAAATAGATTCGCTTGTCAGATTGATCGATGTATCCCAATGGCCGTTCGCACTTTAATGAAGAAAAAGAACGTTGTAAATCGTTACTTTTCTTGACATTTTACGAGGAAAATAAATGAAAAAAAAATACATGATTTTGATCAACGATCTTAATAAATGAAAATTTAGAAGATAACATTATATTACACAATTATAGAAATAACAATTGTTCTATTGCTTATATATTGCATTATAGATATATCTTACATCATTGAATAAATTGATTATTTAATATTTGAATTATATCATTAATTTAATATTCTCCTGATATTGATTACAATATATTACCTATTTAAAATTAATTTACATTAATATTGTAAGCAAATTTACATTATATTGCCGATTACAAATATTCACATAAATATAATCAAAAAGATATTCTCTTTCCGCCGTGTTTTATTTTATTAAAATTTTTTTCCTTCGAATATATTTTCTGCGACTAAATTTGTGAAAAAAAATGATTCCGAGAAAAGAACGATATTTCGTTCTATATTTTGATCCGTCACGTATTAAGACAAAATGTGAATAATGAACATCTTAATGTTGTAAACGACCGGTTACAAATGCACAGACGTAAATAACGTTGGTCGTTTATGAAAACGATACATGAAATCTCCATTATGACACGCTGAGAATAAAATATATGTCGAGTTATATTAATCACTTTCTGAGAGAGAGAAAGTCCTTGTAAACGGAAAAAAAATATCAAAAACGTTTACTCTCTTTGACATTAAATGGACACATGATTGTTACGCATATCAATTATATATTCATAATGATCATTTGCGATAACGTAAGAAGTAATTACGAATTAATTAAATCCTGTTTTACATCGAATTTCACATAGATATTTATCTATCAATCGTCTCATTTCATAATCGCGTTAATCAAGCGACATTTAAATAATCCAAATACATATAGAGTTATCGAGATAATGCGTTTGTTAACAATGATGTAACATGACCGTGTTGTATATATAGACTTCAAATTAATTCCGAACGATTTAAAGGACGTTACATAAATTTATATGGTACAACGTTATATTGTATATTTCAGTTAAATCGTAAAAACCTGTAATTTTACTTAAAATACTTAAACGTTTTTGAGAAAGCATATAAAAATAATTTGATTATACATCAAAAAACTGGTTATTGTAAGAAATAAGAAAATTGTATATGAATTTATAAGAAGTTAGTAAGTAAGTCGATAAAAAAGCACAATTAATAGATATTATATTATATATTATATCAAATATAGAATTATAGTAACAAGGAGATTGAAAAGACAAAATACAGATAGATTCTTCCTTTCAGTGATTTCCATTGATGTTACACAAACGTTATTTAAAATCTACTAAAACTTTTAATGGATTGAATAAAAAAAGAAAGAAAAAAAAAATCGATCGTTAGGGAGTCTCGTTAAAGGGTATCCTTGGTAAAGGATTATACAAAATCTGTAATACCTTTACATTTATTTATAACGAAAGGAAATAGTATAAAGGAAAGAAACAAATAAAAAAAAATAAAAGAAAATCTACAGAAAGAACAGCCATAAACTTAACGAAAATTTGCTATGACACAATTATTGTATTTAACGAGGAACATTCCGAGTCTCGAGTATACTACTCCTGCGATGAGTTATACTTGTTACTAGGTTAACAAGTTATGCTACAAATTTTCACCGCAAAAGAATAAATGAAACACTAAACGAGCTTACGTCATAATTTGTCCGGAAACTAGCACGTCTCTACCGTGAAATGCTTAGAAAATCGTGAAGGTGTATCGTTACATTTATGAGACTTTAAGACACACTTAATCCTTCTCTGTGTTAATTCGAGTGTATTTTTATAATTAATATTTTTAACAAAGTACAACTCGAATTTTTCGACTGTAAATATTTTCCAACAATGATCATCCGTTTTAAATGTCACGGGAAAAAAAATTATTGTTTATATTTTTTATACCAGAGTATTATTATATTATCTACAAAAAAGTAACATGAATATAATAATTACGTCATGACAAATTAATTATTCATTTATATAACATTATTTTGATTAGTCGACAAAATATCAATATTTTTCAACTCAATGTTATATACATATAATAGATTCAAAAAAAAGAAAAGATCTTCTCTCTCTCTCTCTCTCTCTCTCTCTCTCTCTCTCTCTCTCACCCTCTCCTTCTTTTTCTTTTTCTTTAAGGAACATCTCTAAAACTTTTGTAAAAGATAAGAAAATTTGTTCGAAGAACCTGTAGTTTTGTCACGTTTGTCACGATAAATTTTCCTTCGCGGATGTATACAACACACATCTTCCTTTGAACGATAAAATGTTTCTTCTATTTCCCTCTTTCTTTTTTTCTTTTTTATGTGAAAGAACGAAATCCATCACATGGATTCTTATTTCCGCGGGCGAAATTGTCGTATAAAATTCATTCAAAAAAGTATTACATAAAATATACACATATATATAAATATATATGTATATACGTATATATATATATGTACCGTCGAAACCGGAAATCAGTCATTGCTAGTAATTCCTCGGCATTGTTATCAATGCCATCCAACGAAATCGGAAATTGAAAAATTCAGCTAAACCAAAACTTTTCAAAGAAATCGCATAGATGCACAATTTACAGCATTGCATTCTCTGATATTTTCTGAACTTTACATGCTAAATTTTTAACTCGATATGGTATTCTACGCGTAGACAAAAGAGTGTACTTTAATTTAATATAAGTTTCATTAAAATTTATTCACTTTAAGTATAAAAAATATTTACCGAAATTTTTCAAAGAAATCGCATAGATGCACAATTTACAGCATTGCATTCTCTGACATTTTTTGAACTTTACATGCTAAATTTATAACTCGATATGGTATTCTATGCGTAGACAAATGAGTGTACTTTAATTTAATATAAGTTTCATTAAAATTTATTCACTTTAAGTATAAAAAATATTTACCGAAATTTTTCAAAGAATTAGCAAAGTTGTACAATTTACAGCATTGCAATCTCTGATACTAACAATGGCGGATTTCCAGCTATAACGCTAACATATATATTATATATGAAAAGAGTATTTTGAATGTAAGATAAGAAATAGAAAAGACGGCGTGGGTTGGTCCGTTGTATTATTTTCTCTATATTTTTCATTTTCTTATCATGAAAGAACCGTACCGACGCATGCGAAAATACTCATATATATAAATGTGTTAGTAAATATTCTCTATAATTCTACGAATATTTTCTCTCTTTTTCTCTATTGTTTTTTTCTTTCTCTGTATTTTCTCTTTCTCTCTCTCTCTCTCTCTCATATTCTTTATCTTTATTCTTTTTCTCAAATATCACAGCAATCCAATATCACGTAACACGGCAGGTTCCATTAACGGATTGCTTGCTACGTGAAACTAAGAAAATGAAGTATTGAGATGAACTTCTAAATGATCGATCGATTATTATATCGTATTGATTGAAAATTTATCCACAAGTTCTGTTATAAAAAAAAAAAAAAAAAAAACAAAAAGATTTAAATGAAAACATGATACGTATCCAAGTACATACGAATCTTTTTTTAAAGTCTCTACTTTCTCGCATTTGAAAGATTTCAGAAAGAAGAAGACCCGGCGAATATAAATTCTATGAAATCATTTTTTGTATATTTGATTACTCGATGAAAATCAACTGCCACGTAAAAAAATAAGTTTCATTTAAAAGTTTGAATTATCTTTAATAATTAAATATCTCAAAATGTTTTATCCAGAGAAAAATCCCGGTCATATCCTAGCAATATTATGCATAATAAATAAAATTAAAAAGTCAAGCTAAAATTAAGTGGCAGAAAAATAAAACAAGTGATAATAAAAGACCACTAAACAAATTAATTAAAGATGTTAAGCATAGCATACGTGATCACAATAATGCAGAATTCGAAAAATACCTTATACCTAATATTTTTAATAATTAAAAAAATATATGTAATTACCTAAACTAGCGTCGTAGGTATTCATGTACTCGCTGGTCATGAACTGTGATACCAAGGCCGTTTTCCCGACTCCAGAATCACCGAGTAAAACTACCCTATATTTGGGTATTTCTTCAATTTCACTTTCGCTACTTTCATCACCTTGACCGCTGCAACAGGATCCTTCGAATGGTGACCTCTCACCCGACACATTGCTATTTCTGGGAATAATATAAAAAATGAATGGATTAACACGCTGATCCAAAACTTTCGAAAACTTCGATATATATTTGATCCAACATTGATAAGCTTTCCCTTTATTTTCGTAAGCTCACAAATCCCAAATTTAAAACTAAACTTAAATTAATAGTAAATAAAAGTCATTAACGTTAACTTCATTTCAATGATATATTTTATGATTGATCATTAATAACTCAAATAAATAATAAGAATAGAAATAAAAATAAAAAGAAGATCTTAAAATGTAAATGAAATTGAAAATATATTCGAACAACGAGTATTTATTTTCCAGACAAAACTCGATAAAACTTTGTCTCATGGGATTTCATCAGTGCCGCGGTAATGGTTTTTTCAAGTCATCGTGCCAATTCTCTCGAGTAATCGAGGAGCATCACGAGGTCGTCCCACCATCGAATTCAAAACTTAAACTGATTTTCTCGAATATAAAATTAATGAACTTTGAAAAAGAATTGAAACTTAGTGTCAATAATGATAAAGAAAACAGATCAAATTCTATATTTTATCATATTTGTTAATAAATCTTTCCAAGTAACTAATGGATTTCGTAAATCAGAAAACTTTTCAAGAAATACACGGCAAATTGCCAAATAAATGATTTGCATCATGCGTATAATATAGCATTGTTTTCACGTGCTCGCCAAAAAGGTTAAAGAAAATCATTGTCAATACGTCACACTATGACTAATTTACATTTTAGATTTAACATTAGATATTAAATCTATACATATCTATGATAGAAAAGCATTTAAAGAAGAGATCCCGTTCAATGATATCAAATTAAAAATTAAAACAATAGAAATAAATTATATCAAATATTTTCCCTATCTAGATATGAAGTTTAAAATAAGTTTTTAAATCTTTTTATCTTTCTTTGTATATAAATATTCAATTAAGAACAGTGCTGTTGAAAAATTGATTGAATTATATTCAAAATCAAAATGAATATAAAGTTTAAGTTAAAAAAATTTGTCTTTTGGAATTGACATGAAAAAGGATAAAAGTAAATAAAAATGATTCCAGAGATATCCAGTTGAAATATATAGGAGGTCAGGAAATAATGATCGAAATGCAAGAGACGGTAGGCACGGAAGCTCCGGATCGGCCTGAATTTTGCTACTTCGATCGGTTTCCTCCCCTAACTTCGAATCCACCCTCTCTCTCTCTCTTTCTCTCTCTTTCTCTCATCCTCTCTTTTTCTGTTACATAAAATAAAGTGAAAAAGCGAGATAAAGAGAAAGATACTGAGATATTCTTTGCACCTCTAAAAAGAATTTCTCTCAGGGAAAATAATTCTAAACGATTCTTACAATCGAAATTTTCTAATCAATTGTATTTTACATTTTTTTTTTTGCGCGCGTGCAAAATAAAATGTCATCTATTTATTATGAATGATGATAAAACGTATGAAATAATATCGACGAAAAAATAAATAAATAAATAAATATTTTACGTCGTCGTAAAGGGAATATAATTTTTTATTTAAGATCTTTACACACACGTGGAAGTACTCCCAAAAAAAAAAATACGTTTACTCCGTTCGATCGATGAACTCCACAACTCCGCAATTAAAAACGAAGCGTCCATCCAATTTTTTGTCTTTGTTTTTTCTCTTTTTTCCTTTTTCTTTTTTATCGTTATATTAACTTGGAAAAAATACTTTTCAAACGATAGGATACCGAATCCATGAAAAATATCTATAAACTCATCGGTCATTCGTAAAGTGACTATAAAATTCGTACGATAAAGCAAGTCCATCGGAATTTCACAAAAGAAAGACGAATATATAAAAAGATTTACATTAAATGAAATTAAAGTAATGAGAAAAAAAAAAAACAAAATAAAAAATTGGTAGATATTATATACGTTGATATGAGTAAATAAAAAAGTTTGTAAAGACGATAAACCATTTTGCATTTATCAATAAATAAATAAATGTCTATCAATAAATCCTTTGAAATAAATTTCATAAGTCGAGTTATTACTAATTTGAAAAAAAAAAAAAAGAAAAAAATGAACAAGATTTAATGTCCTTCGAAGATATCAAAGTTCCTTATCTTTGAGAATAAAAGAAAGAAATAGAGGGAGAAAGAAATTTACAGAAATAACAGCAGCCTCTCATTTTCATGAAGTAACAAATTCCTTTTTATGATTTCTCTAAAGTTGGCTGATTTTCATATTTAAAAAGAGAACCCCTACACTGAAACATCCCCTATCTTCGATATCATTGTAGTTATCGTTCTATATTAAAATTAATCAAATAGATGAGAAAATTAATGTTAAACTGTGTTAATGTAATAAAATGTGAATTAATCTTAAACTTTGAAAGCTGTTTGAATCCATTTGCTTTTTAACAGACGAACTTTCCTCTCCCTCTCTCTCTCTCTCTCTCTCTCTCTCTTTTCCTCTTCTCAGTTGATGGAATAGGACTACCAGATGATGGGATTAATTATCATCCAAATTAACGTAGTCTCAAAGCTCATCGTTTAAACGTGTCGCGAAGGAAATGGACAAGGTAGTCTCATAATTTCACGTGGTCGTTTCAGAGGCCAAGAACAAAGCTGTTACTCCGTACTTGTTATGTTTGGCACGCGGTATTGCGATTGGCTGGCTGCAGGTAGAACATGTTATATATAAACGAACGTCTCTCTATTTCTTTTTCTCTCTCTGTCTCTCTTTCTGTTTTAACTGAGGGTGACCAAGAAAAGAAGAAAATCCGAGACAAATATTTACTTCGGCTATTTGAAGTCAGCGAGTATGTTCTAGCTAAAAGCGATATTCTTTCATCAAATAAAAAAAGCTTCTCAGCAAAATTCTCAAAGATGAAGAAAAAACATGGATGTATTTTTTTGGTTTGCGTTAAGATAAAATATAGGAAAAGGAAAATCAATATCCAACGAGAACATATATGTTATTTTACGAACGATTCCTAATCGTTATTATATTTCAAACGATAATTGTCATAATTAATCCAATTGATCTAATTAATGATAGTTTAACATAATTACGCTAATTACCGTGATACGAGTTATTATTTTATATGTATCTTTTGAAATAAAAAATATATTTGTCAAATAAGTATTTATAAAGGTCCAATGAAAACGATAGAAAAAGGAATTTCAAACTACAATAAGTTTTTTATCAATTATATTAAGTTATGAAACTTTCACATTCGAACTATCGTATTATACGTGATTCTGCTTTTATAGTAAAAAGTGGAAATTGGCAAATAAGCAAAGGGCTCTCAATACAAAAGGCAAGAATCGATGGGAAGAATGTCTTCGATAAAAAGGAATTTCTTTACAGAAATGCCGATGTAATCGTTCGAGAATAACTTATATTCCGTTTTATATTTTATCTTCTAAGATTTATAAAGAAATATGAAATATCGAGAGAGTAAGATCATCGATCATCAGTATAAATAAAAACGCAAAAGATCCAAATATATTATAATTTAAATGATATATGTGTTTATAATATGTTTGTTTAAATAAATGTATTTATATTTGAAAACTTAAAACTTAACGAGACCTTCCTACCCGAACGATTTACGATTTTGGAATAAGCTTCATTAAAACGAGATCCATTCGTTTTAAGTTGATTTTCTTTTCCGAAATTCACGAACTCCCTCAAAAGTATTTATTCTTTTCAGCTGTTCTGTTTTTCGTATATACGCACGAATACGATCTAATGATTTCTTCCTGACTAAGCGAATTCTCTTTAAACTTCCCTCCTCCTCATCTACCCACTAAAAAAAAGTAGGGAAAGTAAGAAAAAGAGGGAGCAACTTCAAGAGCGTGGATGTACAAAAATAGAAAATACTTAATGCTAAGATTTACGAGAATACGAGAAATCGTGAGAAAATGTTCGTTAAAATTAATTTCATCCATGAGATAGATTTTTGAATGCAATCCATAAAATATTTGATTTAGATAATTTTCCTCGACATTTTTCCTCGACCATCCGAAAGGTTTTCTGATTCATTTTATCGAATCATCTCGCGCGTGTCTGAGAAATTCGTGATTATTTACAATAGTAACTAAATGAATCATCGATTATCAATCTGAAAAATCACGTCGATTGTTTTAAATGAACGATGACTTAAGAATCTTTAGATCTTATCTAGTTATCTGTGAGACAATGATCTAAATATAAGTGTTGAAAAAATACGAAAAATTATTTTCTTCTTTTTATATTATCATTGGATCATAGGTACGTTTTTCTTTATTCACCTTGATAATTTTTCAAACAAAGTTTCTTAAAAACTTTCAAACTCAAACTTATATTTCTTTCCATATAACCGACAAACTTAGAACTTTTGAAGATCTCGTGAGCGATCAATAGTAAGAGAAAATTTTATTTGACGAAATACGAGAATACCCGAGAACATCCGAAGTAAATATATTCAACTTTTTCGAATTTGTTCAACATATTTTCTTTCATTTAATTAATTAATTGATAAGTATTTTCATTATCATTTTCATTGAAACGATGTCAAATCCCACGAGAGTGTCATCAAAATTTCTCTTGTTTAGATTCTGATAAACGTGACGATTCTTCGAATTAAATGCAAGTATAGGACATTTCTATGTTCTTGGGATCAGTTTATTCCAAACTAGGAAAAGTTATAGTAAATGTGATGTTCTTATCTTAGAATATTTATTTCCTTTTCGTGGGCACAATGGATGGTCGAATGAAAACCCTTGAAAGGTTAACATCCTGAAATATTAAATGGCCAAGAGATCTACAGAATAATTTTTGATGAATTTAAGATAACACAAGAGACTTACGTCTAATATATAATAAATTGATGTGTGTTGGAATGATAGGTCCGTGAAAACCAGAATTACGTGTAAAGGTATAGATGATATACTATCTTAGGAAAGGTTCTTTCAAATATGTATTAAGGAAAAATTAATAAAGCTATTTTTACGATTCGTTGAAGAGGGGAACAACCGATCTGTGCACGGAGAAGTATATATTGATTTCTAGATAAAAAAAAAAAGGGAGAGAAAGCAAATGATATAAAAAATAAAGCAACATATTTACGTATATACACAAATGTATTCAGAAAATTGCTAATGAGAGTATAAGAAAAAGTTTTTCACTCAACGTATTCTTCATATTCCCGTACGACTTTAGATTCACTCGTCGTTAAAAATCACTAACATATGTTTTATATGGAACAGACATCGTTAAGTTTTAAGGCGCTGAAGAATTTCTGACTTGGTATGATGACTCACAACGTACAACGTATTTTAACCAATTTATGTTTCTGCTATCCGAAGACAGACAGACAGTGAAAACACAAGAATACATTTGGCAGTAATCCTTAAATACTCGAAAATATAAATATCTTATTTACATCTCTGTGGTATAATACAAATGAATGTATATATATATTTATGACTGACAAATATATTTATGATTGAAGTAAATAATGCATAATATGTGCAATTATAAACGTTTACTAAATTTATTGAAGTAGCGTTAAGGATGTTACTGATTTTCTCATTTAATCAAACCTGTCTAAGATAATTATGCAAATTATTTTCAACCGCAATATTTAAATCTTAATCTCGGTAATTTCACATCGTTCTCTTGAGAATTTCTATTGTATTATACATAAGTAGAGCACACACCTCCTTCCACCCCACCGTACCCCTTTTCAATTTACCTTCTTTAATTCCAGACAATAAGATACATCCACTATCCTTGGAATTTACCGGAACACCACGAGAATTCTAAATGCCGATGAACTTTTATTTTCACCTCTTATATATTCAACGTATATAAAAGAAACAAATTGAAATAAAACTTTGTGAGTTGGAAGGAATATTTTCAGAAACTCAAATGTCGGAATTTCCGACAGCCTTCTTTCTCGATTTTCCTAACTATTCATTTACGAATATACAAAGAAATATTTTAACGAAATTAATGTTCCTTTTTATCTGTAACCTTTTCACCATAAACACCTTACGTGTTCTATGAATAAAATACATTTTTTTATACATAAAAGAAGAAGAAAATTTGTTGAACCTTCTTCCGATACATTAATAATTATGAATACTCGTTAATAAGTTAATAATATAATATAATCAAACACATATTATATCGAAATAATTAAATTAATTGACGAAATCGTTTTCCATTGAATAAAATTCTCTAATTGCTAAAAAAAAAAATAATGATATTCATTTTGATAAATTTGATCGGGATTCATGAAATGACCTTTAAGCTATTAATTATCGTATTAATCACATTTCGAGCACGCTCGAATTAGCGCATTCGACGCATCTCAGCGGAAAATCGAAACTGCTAAGGGAGTTAGAGAGAGAGAGAGAGAAAGAAAGAGAGAGAGAGATAGAGAAACCAGAGAAATGAGGGAGAACGTGGTGAACGTGAACGACAGGAACATCAGAAACCATAATCTCTCTTCGTTGTAACAGAGATATGAATGAAAATCCGTCCGGTGTATTAAATAAGCTTAATTCGAGTTCTACTGAGAATTTAAGGGTTGGTTTGAATTCGATGAAGAAACTAAATAAAATGATAAAACGCTTAGATAAGTGAACGACCGTACTAGACTGATTCGAAATAGAACACGAGTAATGTCTCTCTCTCTCTCTCTCTTTTCTTGCTTAAGGAACTAAATGTCTAATCGCTTTTAATCGTTCACCGAACATCGATTCATAAGTTTTCCTATAATCCAATTCTATTTAAAGTCTCTCTTTGCTAAAGAAGATTAAAGTAAAATGATAAGATTCGAAAACATTAAATGAAGAAAATAACAATTTTCTACGTTATACCCGGAGTTAGTTAATTTAAGTTCCAATTTAAGATTAATTAAGCAGATTAATTAAGCAGATTAATTAAGCGTAAAAAATATAAAACGATTTTGTGCTTTATTTTCTTTTTCTTTTTTTTCTATGTGTGTGTGTGTGTGTGTGTATTTTCTTTTCTAGCGGAAATAGCAACTTTATTTCTAATCGCTTTTTTCGAATCTAATGTTCCTATTCGATTTAAATTTTAATTCAATTTCAATTGTATAATATTAGATTTGAAATTAATAATTATATGATATAATATTAATTCGAAGAATTTTATGTGTTCACGAATAAATAGAGTTTTTTTTTTCTTTTCGGATGACATAAGATAAAAAAAAAAAGAAGAAGAAGAAAGATGAGCGTCATCGAGAGGAGTGACAAACTCATTTGTGAGCCATCCGAAATTCCTCGAATATTCTTCGTTGCATCTTTCTTGAAGACTTTTCCGAAGCATCCCCCGTATATCAAGCCTATCGTCATCTACCACGTGATCATTACCCTACTCCTCCACCTCGTCCTTCATCCTCATACGAGCTGGTTTAGAATAACCCGAAACTCCGTCGTTCTACTCACTCGTATGTTCGATCTCGACCGGTTCGTGTCATCAGACTACACACCGTTTCTTTCCTTCATACTAATCTTCGAAATTTCAAAAACACATCTACAGTCATGGAGATTGCTAAAGGTAAGAATCATAAATGAGGAAATAAAAATTTTTGAAAATATTCTTAAACGAACGAAATTGTATCATTTCTTTCCAAATTTTATTTTTATTCTTTTATCTTCGAATATTTGTTTTTCTTATTTTATTTTATTTTTTTTGTTAAGAAAAAAAATATTTTCTTCCTTTCTATCTCTCTTTCTATTATTCTATTTTCTATATTCTTTTTTCTTTTTTTAATAATAAGTTTAATTTTGTTCTTACTCTATTGGAATTATATTCCTCCTTTGTGTAATTTATTGTTGAAATTTTTCTTTTGATACAATTATGCAAAAATTTTGTTTGCTAAAAAATATCACGAGCTATGTTTACGAATTTTTTAGAAAATATATTATAACGTATACTATATATAATAATTTCGAATATCAGTGACATTTGTTTGACGTCTGCTGTTCGATATTAAACTAAATATTCTTCACGTGATTAATAAATAATAATCGTGGACGATTACGAGACTCTATTCGTATTTTGATTTCTGAAAAAAAGTTCATAGAACTCTGATTATTCATCAAATAAAAACCACTTGTAAGGACTTGAAACTATCTTATAACTTAGTCAGCACATTATTAATTAACAAACGATAATTGATAATTATTCCGAGATTCTAATTGTATTAAAAAAAGTCCAGATCCTGAAACTTATAGAATTCTAAAAATCCATAAAATAAATGAAATTAAAGTAAACATTTATCAAAATACCATTCTAAAGGAAGGTATTAGAAGGAAAAAATGAACATCTAATTATTTCTTAAAGATAAAATTATATATATGTTTCTACGTTCAAGTAAAATTTATGCTGAAATAAATTTCACGTCCGAATATTTTCCATACGAAAAAAAGGGCAACAAAAATAAATATTTCGTTTTGGAAAATAGGAAAATTATTGAAACCCATAGTAATAATAAAATTATCGTGCGATATAAATAACATATATTGTAAACACACAATTTCGGACTAAAATCTGAATATTTTTTCGGACTAAAATCTGAAGTTAATAAGACAAAAATAAAAAGAAACAAAAAACATATAAAATAATATAGAAATCGATTTTTCAGCAAACGATGCAGCAAGTAGCCTGGTCGAGCAATCGTTGAACGTTGAATCGGCATTGAAGTCTGTGAAATCGTCGCAGAGCACGCAGAGCGTACAAACCAAATCCGTAATCGAGTCGTCGACTTCCATTAAATCGGTGACCACATCGTCGAGCAGGTCACAACGATCGATGGAGTACGAGGAGTCTGTTGAATACACAGATGAATAATAATCATCACGCGGCGATATCCTAGAGTCCCAGGAAAATCAAGTGGGCAAGCACCGCGAACGTGGTCGAGACTAAAGCACGGTTTGTTAAATTATTCAATCGACTAGTTAGTACAATCTATTGGATAGAAAATGAAGACGAAATTCCTTCGTTATCGAATGTCATATCATAATAATAATTTTCGATATTGTATATAGATATTCGTTAATTTTAATGAAATTTTTATCGTACTAACGAGAAGTCATTTCCTTCGATTCAATTTTTATATATATATAAAATATCTTCATTATATTAAATGTTATTTGCGAATAACACGAGCAAGAGGACAACAACAAAAAAAGTAATAGAAGATCATGAACGAGAATCAATGTGGAGTTCTTATTGGAAGGAAAAATCGAGTTTTTTACTGAACGACGACGGGTCAAGGATAGAGAATTGGGAATGCCAATCGCAATTGAAGACGTCTACGCTTAATAAAAAGACAAGAAAAAGAAGATAAAGAAGAAGAAGAAGAAAAAGAAAAAGACGAATATACTGAAGAACATTTAGAAGTCTCGACTACGATTTTGGCTCCACTCCAAACGCCGTGGTTCGCCGCCAAATAGCAAAGAGCCCCGTTCCTTTTTCTTTTTACCTTTTTCTTTTTACCTTTTTCTTTTTACCTTTTTCTTACCCGTCTTTTAACCGAGTATTGGACACTCACCTCCCCCTTCTCCTTAACCCAATCCTTTTCGTGCAAATATTCCGTCATTGTCATGTCTCGACACATCCGATTTTCATCTCGATGCATTAATTAATCTTTGTATAATAAAATTTTTCAAACAAATACGTACAAACGCAAATAATTTGTTCTTCTGTTCATAATAATTAATCAATAATTTTCTTAATAATATTTGTTACGGATATAATAATTGCTAAAAAGAACCAAATTATTTTACTTTTAATATAAGAGAACATAAATTAAAAAAAACAAATATATAATAAGTAATTATATAAATTATAGAAATGTGAAATATTTTGTTTTTATTTCTTTCTCTCTCTTTTTGTTTTGTAATTTATTAAAATGTAAAACCTTTTGATTGAAATTTAATGAAAGAGAAAACGTATAGATATACACGAGTCGTAATTCGTTACGAATGGAAGTAAAAAAGAAAGCAATATGTTTAAAGAAAAACGCGATGATATCTTTACCGTTTCATTATTCTAAAATTGTACAAACCCTACAACCGACAGAGTTTAAACGAATTCCACGGTTGGTGAGCCGTTTGTCGTTGACTAAATTCAACGCTGCCAGCCACAAAGTGATTCATACTTGGCAAGATAATCATGTCTTTATGGTTCTAAACAATTCGTACAAAGAACATACGCGTTTATTTCGTTGATCTCTTCCATATATCTGTTTTCTCTATTTCCTTCCACCGAACTGTTTCGTTTTAAATATAAATAATTACATTCTGAAACATTAGAAACTATTTACGAATATATATTACAACTAACATTTATAACGGAATATTGAATAAATTATTCGAAAAATTTAATTTATATATAAAATATATAGAATAACGTAATTTAAACAAATTAATTAGCGAAGAACTATTGTATTTTATCTGTCAAATCGATATCCGAGAAAATGTGTCGTACGTTCAACGCGATCAATATCGTAATCTAACCGATATCAGATCTCAACCGTTTAACTATAAATATCAACGTTCTAACAAAACAGTTAAATAACGTCAATATTACGCGAAAACGCGTAATAGTACAATTTTTCTTTTATTTAATCATGCAATGCAAAAGAAAAAAAGAAAAAATAGTTATTGAAATTGTAAAATTCAGATAATCTAATGCGATCGATATTTATATATTTATCTCTATTCTTTCATAAAAAGAGAAAGAAACGGAATAAGAACCAGAAGGAGAATGGTTTTAGCTGGAAGCAAAGAAATGACAAGAAAATAATATGAAGTATCCCAAGGGATATAGGAGAGAGAACGATATGGTTTCTCTCTCTTTTTTTTTTTTTTTTATCTTTTTCCACTTCGTGCATCAAGTTTAAACTTGAAAATCATGACGACGGGAACAACCAAGAGACAGTAAAAAGTTACTAACGCGGTATGTATTACGCATGTTTTGTGTATTCTGTAAGCTATTTTCGAAGTCGACAAATTTGTACTTGTGCTTTCTTAACGTATTGAGATATATCTGTATACATTAGCTATACATTAGCTATACAAACAACGCTATTTCATTCTATTGTTTATCATTTTTCTGCAACATAAAATGATATATCTCATTTCATTGCTATTCTTTGAAAAAAAGAAATACAATTATTTTTTAACCAGTTAGTTATGATATCGTTATGAATAAATTGTGATAATTTTTGTTACGATTAGTATACTCGTAATGCGAAAGAAAAGTAATTACTATTTGTTGTAATATTTTATCAATTAGCAGTGATGGTCTTTTTGAAAAGTGTATATACCTAAATTGTGCCGTAAAAATAAACCGATAACACAAAATATTGTCATTTCTTCATGACGAGTATAAACCTCAAACGCAATTAATCGATTAGATCAACTTATGTTAAAAATACAAAAAAAATGACTCCGTTTATTTTTGTTTTAGAAAATTTGAAAAAAAGAAATTAAACAAGTTCGAAAAATAATTCTATTATAAATGAACGAACAATTAATTAAACTTATTTTGAATCTGATATGATCATTCTCAATTGTTATCCACATTCAAAATATAACTTTCGAAATAAAGATTCTTATTGAATCACGGGTACTATCTGTTTGCAGTTGGCTCTGTAACTTTTAATTTGCCGAATGTAAAACATCTGATAGGCTTTTTCAATTTTCCTCGCTAAAATATAAATGATAAAACGTCAAAACAGAAATTTGTATTTAACGAATACGCGAGATCATGTTTTCATTCTGAAAACATTAAAAATAAACAAAAGAAGAAAAGAAAAAGGCAAGTCAAATAAAAAATTATACTTTACGACCCTCCCCCCTCCCTCCCTCTTTTCAGGTGTACGGTTATATCCTGGATAATCCCAAAAGAAAATCGAATAAATCATTATAATACACACTTTATCAGTCCTTCAACGTTGATTTCACATGAGAGAAAAAGATTCGTTTGTCATTTGTCCAAAAACATTATTCTTTTTTCTCAAGAGCAAATACTCTAGTGTGACAGCCAAAATGGTGATAAGAAGAATATAGATATAAAGAAAGATAGAAAAAAAAGAAACGAAGAGAGAGAGAGAAAGAAAAAAGTTCCAAGGCTCGAAAAGAAACTGAAATCCCTTGAATAACGTGTCAGTAGTCGATCCTATTGCTGAGAAAAGAACGTTCCAAAGTGAAAAAAGGAAAAAAAAAGTCTGAGGGGAGGAGTGAGGGGTAAAATACTCGAGATCTTTTCACCTTTTTCTTCTTTTTTCTTCGACTTTTTCTTTTTTCTGTTCACGTAGAAGAGAACGTTTCTTATATTCTGAAGAAAAGAAAAGAAAAGAAAAGAAAAGAAAGAGGACCGGAAAATCGTTAGCAAGTAGCAAGCAGACAGTTTCTCGGCGATTGTTGTAGTTTGGAAACTATTAGGAAAGACGACGACGCGTCTAACCCAGTACCCTTATTTCTGACGAAGGGCTGACTTATCGAACGACTTTTTATTGTAACCCTAGCCTAACACAAGCAAACACAATACAACGATGATGATGATGATGAAGTGGAAAAGAAAGAAAAAAAAAAAAAAAAAGAAAAAGAGGTGAAAGAGCTTATCTGAACATAAGCGTAAGCTTGAAAGCTCGCACACCATTCGATGGGTCGTTGCCAAAATCGTCTTATCTCCACCCTTTCGTTTTCCCTATCGAGAACTATCTTTCAGTCGACTAAATTTTCGGATATCCAACTCGAGCCAGTCGAGGTGACACAAATTTTTATCATCCGATCGATTCCTATTTCCCTCCTTTTCTTTTTTCTCTTTTTCGGTCTTTTGGTAAATGATACGGAAAGAAAGAAATTATTGTTTTGTTTCTATTTTTTTCCAATAAACAAAAAAGAAATTAATAATCGACGAGAAGTTAATAATTACGTGTGTAATTGTGATGAGCTAATAAAAAAAACAAAAAAAAATACGAAACAAGAGGAAAGATTGTTCTGTTAGATTGAGTTATCGATACAACCTAACTAAACCATAACTTTCTATCTCAAGGAACAAACTTTTAGTAAAACATTTGCGACTTTTGCTGACGTCGATACCGAAATCTCGTTGATTTATTGCTAGTTGAGTGACATACCCTCGGTATATATTTTAACTTATTTATTCGCAGACAAAAAAGCTGATTTAACAGCTCTCTCTCTCTCCCTTCCTCTCCCACTCTTCTTCTCTCGAGTAAATTAAAAATAATATGATCGATGTGTTTCACTCATCATTGTTCTGAGTCTGAAAAAAAGAGAGATGATAATAAAACAGGTGTTTGTGTGTGTGTGTGTTTACGTGCGTGTATATACATCTGTATTTTCTTTATATATAAGAAAATATACTCGTTGTTCTTCTTTTACACACAACACTTGCAACCATGACACAATTATTCACTATCATTTTTCCCTTGTGTGCAACTCCCTTATTTTCCGAGCTTAACAAGAACGTATTTGTACAGTGTTATCGTTATCTTGAACAGTACCCTGTTCCTTGAAACTACACATATGATTTAAATCAAGAAACGCTAGAGTCATTTTTTTATTATGAATCTCTTATTGTTCTTTAAAATATTTAAAATATACGATTTATATAATTTACAGAAAAATATTCAAAGAATCCCTTTCATTCTTTCAATCTTTCCGCATATTAAAAAGAAATTTAAAAAGATTTGGTGAAGAAAATAAGGATGTTTGGTTGGAAGGAAATAAATGAGAAAAAAAAAAAAGAAAAGAAAAGAAAAATACCCTAATACGATTCGCCAGGTAAGTATTACGGTATTCTTTTGTCTCGAGAATCGATCTTAAAGGTCAACTCTTGTATTTTGTTAAACCTACTGGCCCTTTACGCCCGAACGGAATTACTTACCTACGGGAATAAGGAAAAACAGGATGAAGTTCTGACGCGGAAAATATTCTGCGAATTTTCCCATGTGGATTACAATGTATATCTTATTTTCTTTATTAGTCATTTTATCGAACAATTTTCAATTATTTTCTATGTGAAAAGTAAATAGATACATATGGAAAAACAATATTTGGAAAATAAGTTATTTCGAGAAATCCTCTACGTTATATATTAACTATCGGCAAATGTTACAAAATTAAAATGAAGTTTAAAGTGTAGTTTTGTGAGATTTGATCAATGAAAAACAAAAACAAAGATTTGTTTCGAATGGCTTTGAAAATCGATATTGACGAACTCCTTTAAAAAAGACACAATAAATGTCTTCTATCAATATTTAACTTTATCTGACGATCTCCTTTTGATTAGAAATTTTGCAAACGAACTCTTTTCTCGACCATAAAGACTAGCATTCCTTCCTATATATATGCATTTCTACACACCTTGTTAACCTACTTACGTCAAAAAGGAGAACGAAGACGTGCGCCAGTAGATTTCAATGAAAAAATATCGTTTTCCTATAAAATAATTCTTTTCGATTTATTTTGGGGGAAAAAAAAAAATCTTTCGAACAATATCTATCGTTTTAAATAATTTTAGTGATTTCGTGAAAATTGATCTTATTTTTTTTATGTGTGTGTGTGTGTATATGTATGTGTAATTTGTTGAATTTATTAAATTCAATGAAATCTTGTCAAATCGGTAAATATTTATTTTCATTTATTTCAATATAATTCGTGCAAGATTTTAAAATATTAATGTACGACAAATAGCAATGCAACATCTATAAAAAATATATTGTTTTATGCAGTATTTAAAAAGATACTATTAATTACCTGCTACTATTTACCGAGGTGTTGCTTTTACTGCCTCGAGAAATGATAGAATCTCCACGATTGACGACTCCTTTATGAGTTATACTGAATTCCCTCAATGTGTAGAGATCATCGCAAGCTCTTGGATTGTAAACTTTTTCAGGTAAGCTGTGCACTCGAGGTCGAATATGATCCGGCACTGAAATGGCGTTGAAAAGACGATTAGAGAAAGAAGAAAACAAAAGTGAACGAAAAAGTTCATTCTAGTCTATTATTGTAAAGTTTTCGTGATGGAGATATAAAATTTGTTTAAAAATTCAATCAGGATGTTCTCGTGGGACATCCCCAAAAAAAAGATGAAAAAGAAAAAAAAAAAAAAAAAAAAAAATTGAAAGAGCAATTCTACTGAATAATTTCGCAGTTACGATAAATTTATATG